AACACGCGAAGGGGATCGGCAGAACATTAGCTAAGCCATGTAAACATACGATTCTGAACTAGATTAGTGATACTTGGTATAAGATTGCACCATTATTTATCTTTAGACATTCATTGGCGGATAACATTGGTTAAGGAAATCAAATGTCTAATTAATTTCAGTTTGCCTGTTAATGAGGAGTAGATAGACATGTTTAAGGAAGTGTGGATTGTAGATTGAGTGGGTTTAATTACTCACAGTGGGAGAAAGATAAGTCTCGCTGTATTTGGGAGGGGCGCGAAGTGGCGAAAAATTCAGGGGCGCCAAGGCTTGGAGTTAGAGTCGCAGCTGCCTCCCCTGGTGCAAACCGCCTCCGATGATATGGTTGACGTCTCTCCTTGTTTACTTACGCTTCGTTATCTCTGGGTAACGCTTAAGGAAGAAGTAATTCTTCATATAACTTTACTTTTGATCAGGAATAGACTAGTATTAATTACCTTAAATGGGTGGCAATACTATTTTGTTAAATATTTTTGTGAATATTGAAATTCATAACACACTAGATATCATATAAGTAAAAACAGTACTGCACTATAAATACGTAAAATAAAACACTCAAACTCCGCGCCAAAATGGAAAACAGTTGTGCCAACCTAACAAAAACAAAAAATCTAAAATTCGAATATGGTACCATAAACAAGTTATCCATTCCAAATACTTTTTTCCTAGATCTTTTAGTTTTTTAAACATTTCTCCGTGTTAGAACGAAGTCCAGTGTTGCGCTTCGTATTAAGCCAGTGCAGCCTTGCATAATTATCTTGCAGACGAAATGTGTAAAAAATATGTATCAACTAATGAATTAAGATAACATTATAGGGCGACACTTTTTCAGAACAAAAGATTAACTTAAGTATAGTATAATATAAAGATAAAAATTACTTAATGCTCTTAAGTTTTTCGTAAATAAAACCTTCTTGGTACACTTTCAATATTCAGCCATTATTGAATCTATGTAAGACCTAACTTAGAATATACAGTAAAGCATCCTAAGTGACTAGAGACCTAGGTAGCCTAGATAGTGATAATTAACAAGTCTAAGTTAAAAGCTGTACCGTTGGGCCCTGGTTACAGTGACCTTAAGTTTAAGTAAGATTCTGTACTTAAGCCGCATTTTATCTTAAAGTCGTACAGTTAAGTGGAAGGTTATATTGTTATCATGAAAGTTAGGGTTGTGGTGATCGATCTGCTAATATTTATTTTGTTATAATTTTAAAAATTTATTTCAGTTTTATGACAAAAGCTCATATTAGAGAGGGTTAGTAGCATTTTTTATAAATAATTAAAAAAAAAATCTTTATATAAAATGGAAATATAGTTAAGTATTTGATTATGTATTGGTGAGATTTTATAACCTTCCATTTTTTTAAAAATGTAACGAAGAATTTTCGTTATCATTGAGAAAATGATCGATTTTCAACGTTTAAGATAAACTTAAAAACTTTCATTGCTGATGACTATTAACTCAATAAAACGCACTTATGACGTAACACCGCAAATTGCCGCCATTTTACGACCACAGATAACACACCGCATATCTAAAACATTAAAGCACAAATCGATACAGGAAACGAAACATTTTCCAATCTTTAAAACCAAATCGATTACTCTAAAACATCAAATAGCTATAAAACATACATCGAACTGTCTAAGTTTGACTCCCGGTCCATCGTAAAAACATAACACGGTTAGGATATTTGTTCTACGCTAAAGTAGGACGGCGTAATCGGAATATATAGCTGTCTCTTTCCTAATACTTTAAACTATAATGGTATTGGCCAGGGAATCGAAAATCGATAAAACAGTTTTACGTTTTTTTTACAACTTGTAAATATTAGTGAATTTGTATGATAAAACCGTTTCAAGTGCTTTTAGTATCGATAAAAGGGATTTTTATATTTATTGTAAAGTGTTTTGTTCCGTAACAGTTGTTATCTACTAGGTATTTCTTACTAAACGATAACGAAACTACTTGACCGATTTGAAAATTTCTTTCACTATTGAGAAGCTACACTACCCTCTGTGTAAATAGGCTACCTATAAGTAACTACGTTAAGTACTATAAGTAAGCACTTCTTATGCAGGTGAAACAGCGGGCTAGAGCTAATAGTTTAATAATTGTATAGATACGTTAAATTTGCTTTTCTTTGTTGGTTTCTGTTTCTCGTCGTTTGAAGACCTTACCTTGTATGTACCGCCATACTATATTGTATATGGTATTTTTTTTTATTACTGTGTATCGGCGTTTGCCCATTATCTCAGCTGGTGGCAAGCAGTGATGCGAATTACGATGGAGCCCTTAATCGAAGGATCAATTGTAAGACACTCAGGTTATAATACCCCTCGGGGAACACAGACTCCGGCAAAGAATTCCACTCCTTCTCGGTTCTGTAGGCCTAAAGCGTGAATATTTCGGACGAAAAAGAGGGATGGAACTATACACCTTTTATAGCTCCATCCCTCTTTCTCGCCCGGAAGATTGACGCTTTAACACGGTATCGGTGTCATGGTAAGCCCTCTGATGTAAAAACTGGAGGCGAATTGTTTTGTACGTATGGATTGGACATCAATATATATATATATATACTTATTGCCTCCGTGATACTATTCCGTATTGCGTCGCAGATCCACATAATCGTGGATTTAGTACCGCACCGTATTGCGCCCAATTGCATGGCATCTAAATCTTTATCGCCAATGCAGGTAGGTAATTCGAAACCCCATATTTTATAGAATTGTGAAATAAATCTCCACAAATGTTATTTAGCTGCGAGATAGTTTCACTAAAATCTAGTCAGTAGTTTCCATGGTTCTGACATATTGGAATTGAACAAAAATTACGATTAATTGTAATGTAATACTGTGGTGGCCCGGAGGTTAAGGCGCCCGCTTCGCATAAATGAGGTTTCGGATTCGAAACCTAACAAGCAAAAATGTGACTTCTCCAAGTTGTATGTACTTTCTATGATTATTTAGGCACCACTGACATATTATGGAGAAATACATCGCGAGGAAACCCTGGACTTATAATTTAAAATTATAAGTTTGAAATCGCAAATCACCCTTGAGCAGTCGTGGTGATTAATGCTCAAATCTTCTCTGCGTGAGGAAAGGCCTTGCTGTAAGTCGTTTAAACCATGAGTTTCACTAAATTCTAGTCAGTAGTTTCTGAAATATTGGAATTTAACAAAAATTACGATTAATTGTAATGTAATACTGTGCTGGCCCGGAGGTTAAGGCGCCCGCTTCGCATAAATGAGGTTTCGGGTTCGAAACCTAACAAGCAAAAATGTGACTTTTCCGAGTTGTATGTACTTTCTATGATTATTTAGACACCACTGACATACGATGGAGATATACATCACGCAAACCCTGGACTTATAATTTAAAATTATAAGTTTGAAATCGCAAATCAGCCTTGAGCAGTCGTGGTGATTAATGCTCAAATCTTCTCTGCGTGAGGAAAGGCCTTTGGTCAGCAGTGGACACTTATAGGCTGATGCCCCTACCCAGCTAACCTACGTTCTTAACCCATTTTTAATAGATACTTTTTTGTGAGGGGAAAATCATCAAATAACTTTTCCCGCCCAGGGTCCCCTGTTCCTTCTCCTGCTCTGGGCCGAGGTCGCTGTGCCTCATTGCGTTTACCCCGCAACCGCGGCTGAACATCAGCCTTATGGGGCCCCGTCTGTGGAGGTCTATGGAATCTTTGGGCGCGCGCGGAACGCTACGCTCCGTACGCTCGGGTCTGGTTCTGTTCGGGCGGCAAGCTAGGGTAGCTTTTACTCGCAGCAGACCCGCGCTTACGGTGGCCGGAGATCATCCCTTGATCCCCGACGCCCGTAGTGTCCCCTCACGCGGACCGCATCCCTCTTTACGAGGAGGAACTGACCTGGACTTATAATTTCTAATAACAAGTTCGAAATCGCAAACCCACCTTAAGCGAACGTGGTGATTAATGTATACCTTCTCGGCATGAGGAGAGGTCTTTGCTCAGTAGTGGGCACTTATAGGCCGATGAGGATGATGATGACGAGTTGACTCGTGTGACGTAGGTACCCTACCTACCTAACCTAATTAAGAAGGTACATATTTACTCAATATTGCCAATGTCTAACTGCCTCAATCAGCTTATTACGAAGCCCTTTACTGACCACTCCTTACAAATGCAATCCTAGCATCCTACGATGTCATATCGGCGCAGACATTAATCATTACGAAAGTCATAAGGTGCGAAATGTCAAATCTAAAATGGCTGACTGCTGACATTCTGAACATACGACATATAAATGGACTTTTGTGGCTATTGCAAAAGTTGTGAGTAGGTATAATAATTATATATGTATTTATGTACGTTGGTACTTATTACATCAATTTACTTCAATCAAATCTAAAATAGTCGATATGAATCAAGAAATTGATGTTTTAAAGATTGGATTCTCACCGAAACTCGCGTTAACGGAATAGTGGTCATCATTCAGCTGATTCAGCATGTAAGTGCCCACAGCTGAGCAAAGGCCATTTCTCACACGAAAAGGTTTAACCACGCTTGCTCTAGATGGATTTATTAGCGATTTCAAACAAGTTATAAATCCAGGTTTCCTCGATGATTTTCATCACCCTATGTCAGTGCTGTCAAAATATTCTTAGAAACTACATAATATAACTTAGAAAATTCACATTGATATTTGTCAGGTTTTGAAGAATAATGGTGCGAATATCAAACATAATTGAACATACATACCTAATACTCACTTTTTTCAGCGACGTTGGGCCGCATGTAATAGAGCGAGCTCATTGCCATATCATCATCCAGGGCTCCGTAGTGTTATTAGAAACATTATTAAAATTGAAAAACTAATTAATACTTAACCTACTAATAAAACTTGCTTGATACTTGCACATTTTACGAACAACGTCACGATCTTGTCTCACAATGTTCCATAATTTATACAAATTATATTATGAAGCATTACAACATCAAAGGTATGTTGCATTATCTCTAAATCTAATACACATGACAGACAAATATAAATTGTCATACATTAGGCACATTTCCAGATTCTAAATTACTACTGGGAATCGAAATTATCAAATGATGCTATGCTTGCTGAGCATAATTTTATCGTTAATGTTAAGAGTATCTGTACTCGAAAATAACTAATTAAACCTGAAAAAATACGAGCATGCACGAATGGGTCGGCGCAAACGGAGTCCACACAGAAGACCGCCGTGAAACAACCGTAACAGCGTTATGTTTCGCAGTGCGAGTGAGGTTACCGGAGGACCAATACCTCCAATCCTAAAATTCGCGAATTCCTAATCCCAATAAGGTCGGCAATCACTCCTCCGTTGTTGCAGGTGTCCATATAACAAGGCGGCGCTGATTGCTTACCATCAGGTGTAATGGTCGTTTGCCGCCCAAATGCAAAAAAAGAAAAAATAAACTTTATTTTTTATGCATAAAATAATAAAAAAAATTAATTTCACACTTCTATTATGAATGTACCAACTTAACAATCGTATCTGATCAGTATCAGTAGTTTTCAGTCAGTCAAATTCAAATACTTTTTCTTGAAAAATTAAACTTATCTATGAACTTTGTTCGAAATCACAACATACATACGTCGTGATTGTGTTTTTTACATCAAACAGAATACTAATTTATCAAAAAAATCGAAAACGAAGTAGCTACATCGTACATTAAATGAATGGGAAAATGATTAAATATATTTTATTAAATTCACTGTACCTATTGAAAAGTCAAAATAATTAATGTCTAACCAACCTAACTACTTAATTTGACTAGTTGTTGAGTGCCAATAAAACACCCCAGTCTCAATTAAACATTTACTGAATCGATTAGTTACTTATTAAATAACTCAAGAACCCGCAAATCAGTTAAACTCCTTGTTCATAAGGTATAAGATCTTTATCACTATAAAACAAGTTAAATAAGTTAAAATTATGTTATTTCTAACGTATAAATTGCAAACACGGATCATGTAAACTATTTTGTCCTGTCATAAATATATGTGATATCGATGAAAAAATGACAATTATTATTTGCTCATTAATGCCTCCTCCCCTGATGAAGGGCCAATTAAGCAACTGGTATTCTATATTTTTATTATTACCTTCGTGAGACATTCTAAATTATTATGTTTTCCGCCGCGTCGCGTGTCGCGTGTCGCGGAATGCTGCTCATGAATGTGGGCCTCTAGCATGGTTTGAAACTAGTCGAGTATCTCGTCAAATTATTACGTGAGTAAGCCGAAAACATAATAATTAACTGGTATTCTGTTCTTCTGTTGTATTTTATTCTAGCGTAATTGTATCTAAAAATTCACAAAATAAGAAAATGTTGAGCACTTATATCTATGCACTTAAAATATTTTGATAAAATTTTTTACCAGCAAACTATGTATCATTCCAATACGTTACATTATCAAAGTAGGTACATAATTATACCCTCTGTTTACGAAACAGTAACTAATAAGGTTGAGGAGCCGCGACCGAGGGCCTCCAGTTAGCAGTTTCGAAACAATACATTAATTATAAGTATCGCTAAATGTTTGTTTTCGACATTTCCAAGATACAAGTACCTTGCTTAAGTACCAAAAGGTCAAGTAACAGCTAATATATGATTCTTAGGTACTCCATTGGGGCAATAACGAAGGCATAAAGTTCACTATAAATGTCCGAGATTACTGACACCCATTGAGACACTCTCTCAAGCCTCGATCAATGTCTGACATCACCTCTCTCAGAAAGTACAGTTAAGACAAGCTTCCTAGGAATTCGACTGGGATTTTCTCCTAGATTTATACAAATAGCTTAATTGCTTACAAGATTAGCTTAATTTACGATAGATGTTGCGTAGAATAGCTAGATAAATCTCTACTTAGAGCTAATTGTTGGAAAGTGGTCGTTAGGACAGTTTGTAGATCTAATCGGGATAGTTGTCGCCTCGAATTATGTTTATTTTGGATCTCGAGAATACATTTTAGGTAGCTAAAGTTAATTGTAATATTGTTTTAATATGTTTGCTACTTTACTTTGTAGGCAAGTCAAAAACGGATGTGTAGATTTCGATAAAATCAAAAAATAAAAAAGCTAACAAAAAAATTCAACTTGACTGTATTTTACTGATGGAAAATAGCGACTTGCTCACGTGAATTAACCGAGAAAATCTCTACTACTTTCAAGCTATAACGGGGCTCATACTCATGAGGAGCGTGCTCGATTCTTAGTTAATTAAGTTAAGTTAAGCAAGTTTTTAATTTCGATAAAATTTTATAGGTATGCCTCACGATACTTCCTATTGGTACAACAAAATATGACTGTTCCTTCAATAAGGTTGGTATATTGGTACAGAAACATTTTTGGCTGAACAAGCCAAAAAATTATAAAGCTAAAATTATAAAGAGGTAAAATTTGTAAGTTTGTATGTAATGGGTAATCTTTGGAACCGCTGGTCGGATTGTCAAAATTCTTTTACTGATAGATAGCTACAATGTTCCTGAGTGATATAGGCTGTAAAACATCACGCTACGTTCAAATGGAGCCGAGCAGCGGGTGAAACCGCGCGAGAGTAGCTAGTAAATAATAAAGCCATTGATACCCGCTTTTGGTTCTGCGAATCTCAAGTACTGTAATTACTCAGAAATAAAATCTATCGTGGGAAACATTTTATAATTACAAATTGATATAATCAAGAGAATTAGTTTTAGTAATTATTGTTATTTAATTCTCCGAAGTCATTCTATGATGGAGTCAGATTTATTGAGTTCTTTATGTATGGTTGCCGTCATCACATTTCCGGTCGATGACGAACGTTGATTGCTACCAAATTACTGTTTAGGTATTAATTTAGTTATATGCTCCTCATTTTGATTTATATTAGGCATATTCGTAGCATGATACCCGCGTAACATTTTTGGGTGGACAAAGAAATATTTATATGAGTTCTTTAATTACTATCATAGTGAGGCTTATGTTGAGCTTACCATTTTGAAAAATACTATATCCTTACATTAATGAATACCATATAATGTCATTTTTACAATCTTTGTATTGCAGAAATATAACAATTCTGTAGTCTATGGCTTTCGGAAAACCTGGCAACATAATCTAGTATAACTATCATAATCTAGCCTTTCGTTGATCGGCCTCTGTCTAATGATTTAGAGATTATTTAAGACCGACCCACGGGTAGAGTAGGGGAACAATTTGATTGAACTCTGCCATCACTGAGTGCTTACTTATCTGTTACCGATATTTGAATTAAGCATTCGCAATATTCAACAAAACATAAAACAATAATAATTATCAGAATTACAATCATTTAAACATTTCGATAACGTTCTAATAACTCAAGCCGTGGGAACGCAACCTTAAAATTTATTCAAACGATTTTACACTAAATAATTTATATAGTAAAGTTGATATTTGTATATTCAGATTTGTTCGTAGTACACCTGCGTTTTGTGTCAGCCATTGTTTCGATGTTATGAACAATAACAAACTCGAATCTCGAATTTCTAAGCGATCTGTTCGAAATATATGTGCAACTTAATTTATGGATTTGGACCGAATATATTACCATGTCTCGTGGTTCTGTTCTCCTGGGGGTCAGGGGAAAATAATTAACATACCTAATGTAGAAATGTACTTAATCATCTTTTGTTAGGAATTCGCTATGGAGTGGAATTCTTAGTCGAACTTCTCTGAAGTTATAATCTTTGAGGCTCGAGAATAGGTTGTTTTATCGAAGGTCGAATCATTGCTTACCATCGGGCAAGATACATAGCGGCACAACGCCCAGAATTTTCAAAAAAAAAGGTATAAGGAGATTTCATATTAAGAATCCTTTATGGTTTTTACAAATCACAACTTTCATAATTCTCATAATTTACTCTATATTAAAAATTTAATTGGGATTTCATAATCATTTTAATCAAAAGTTTATTTAAATACAATAAAATAGTTTATTTAAATAGAATAAAAAAACCTTTCTGCGTCTTATAATCGGCGTATTAAGTTAATTGGTTTCTCGTTATAATTTCAAACTATTAGTTAAGATCTTGAAAACGGCATTACTGTCACTCAGATTATCGCTATTATTATTATAGTATTTTAATAAGTGATAGAATTTAAGGCAATTTCAATAAAGCTATCTAATATTACTGTTAAATTGTTGTTTCGGGTCTGGGTGTCATGTGTATGTGACATTGTATGTTTGTAAACGCACCCACAACATAGGAGAAAATCCTAATGTAGGGCAACGTTTTCTATTTTAAAAGAAAGAAAGAAAAAGAAAGAAAGTTGATGTAGTAACATACCTTAGAAATTAAAGATTTAATCGAGATATTTTCCATCAAACATTCATTAACACAAATCCTCTCAAGAAACCTTTAATATCCTGCTAAGTATAAACCCATAACACATGTCTGAGGATCAATAATCGCTTATCGTTAATACTGCTTACATTTTATCTAAATGATATTGTTTACAACGAGTCCATATCGCGGCTCCAAAGCTGCCGTCTTCCCGACCACTCGGCTGATTACCGTTGAATTATCTTAAAGCTAATTGTTTAGTACTTATGTATAATATTTAGGTAGACATGTTTGAGTGTACGCGAATATGTTTTTTGAGTGTACCTACTCACAATAAAATTTTACCAATCACGATAAACCTTTTTCTTGTTCGTTGTTCTCTATTTGAATCTGCACTTTCGAACGAGCACATAGCTTCATTGACGAGCATATTCTATTTTTAAATTTCAAAAGTATCTGTATAAATGTGGTTTAGTTGGTGTAAAGGACTTTTTACTTTTATATCGATAGACTCGACGGTTAATCAATTCAATATAAATTTTCATATGGTACTTCTAAAATCATATCAATTTCTAATATAACACTAATTATTTGATACAAACCATTTACTCAGTATTTATTAAAATTTTACTATAATCTACTAGCGGCTGATGTTTTGCACGTTTCTCAAGCACCTCTATGTCAGAATTATAAGCAAAACTCCAAGGCATCTTTCTCATACTTCTAACATTTCATTTTAATATAGGTAGGCAATGAAAGATACAAGATATTTGTACTGTAGTTTTTATTTTTTCTTTAAGGGCCCAAACGCAAAACGAATTATATTGTAGGTATACTTCGATAACGATTAACAAATTGTATTCTTATTAACATAATCGTACAAAATGGAGCATATTTTGTATTGAATTACGTCTGACTAACGGCCGCTAAGCTGCACGACACATTAGCAAATTGATCTGGATTTGAATTTGGAACGCGTGGGCGGTATTCCAAAACGATGACGTTTGAAATTGAATACCACAGATATTATAATAATTTTGAGTATCACTTTACTTGTTATTGTTGATGGGTATTGCTACCTCCATGGTCGATCCTTTTTTTGCTGAATAAAATTCTTAACAGTCGTAAAATAAAAAGCGACAAGCTTACATTAACAATATGTATGTCTCTTTGTACTCTTTCGCAGATAAAATTGATTTAGGTAGGTATGTTAAATTATTCTTATTAACTTCTCACATAATCCAACCAACCAACCAACTTAATAATACCAAAGAATCTGTAAGTATGTGAAACTGATTTAAAAAGAGTAGCCATGGAATTTCTTGCTCGTTCTTCTCCATCGGAATCTACATTTTGGAACGAGCAAACAACTTCACTAAGACGACTGACCACCGAATGTCACTTTATCTTTAAGTTTTGTTTGACGTTCAAAATTGCCTGTAAAGGTCTAATTAAAATAAATGAATTTGACTTTGAATTTTAATATTTTTTATTCAATAATGTTCCTTATTGTTACAGGATGCAACTGTTCGTCGATCGGTGCGGAGAGCAACGTGTGCGATATCCGTACGGGGCAGTGCCGTTGCAAGCAACATGTTACGGGCAGAGCTTGTGAGACTTGCGAGGTTTGTATTTCACCTAGATAAATGATTACCTACTATGTGTGGGAGAGCCATGCTTCGGCACGAATGGGTCGGCTCGACCGGTGTGATACCACGGCCTCACAGAAAACCGGCGCGAAACAACCACAGCGTTATGTTTCGCCGTGTGAGTGAGGTTACCGGAGGCCCAATCCTTCCCCTACCCCAATCCGTTCTCTTTCCCAAAATCTCCAGATCCCTAATCCCCAAAAGGTCGACAACGCACTCGTAGCTCCTCCGTCGTTGCGGGTGTCCATGGGCGACGCTGATTGCTTACCATCAGGTAATCGTTAGCAGGTTTGATGACCTATCACATAAAAAAAAATACAACACCAGCCCATAGTGTCCACTGCTGAGCAAAGGCCTCGTCTTACATGGAGAAGGTTTGAGCATTAATCACCACACTGGCCCAAGGTGGATTGTCGATTTTAAACTTATAATTAGAATCTATAAGTCCAGTTTTCCTTCACTGTATGTCAGTGGTGTCTAAATAATCTAAAAAAGTATATGTAACTCGGAAAAAGACACATTGATACTTGGCCGATTTCGAACCGACCCTCATGTAGGTGTGAGATGTGTGCGCCTAGACCTCCGAATCACTACGACGTACTTAACATAATAATTAATCTATAATTAGTTTGTAAACCACGAAAGAATCAAAAGATGGAGGGATTTTCATGAAAACAGTTTTGCTACTAAGATTTTAACTAAGCTCATGTCAAAATTGTAGTAAAACAGAAGTTCAGTCATACGATCAAAAATCTAGACATTTAGGTCGTTAATTTAAAAACTAATCAAGGTAGTTGAATACTCAAAGAGTCAAGAGACCACCATAGACGGGGCTCTATAGGACTAATGTTCAGCCGGGGTTCCAAAGATTACCCCCTACATACCAACTTACAAATTTTACCTCTTTATAATATAGGTATATTAGTGTTTAGTGTAGATGTACTTCGTGAGCACTAAAACTAGCTAATAAGCTCTCACTACTAAAACATAAACATCGTTCATAAAAAGCGCGTTAAGCGTAAAACAAGTAAAAGTTATTAGTTTTCGCATTTATTACAACCTCGTAAAGTTCATTTTTACACAGCCAATAAAATGAAATGACAAAACAGCTTCATAATACTTGGGTGATTCTTCACATCAATTAAAAAAAATTTAATAATGTCATTATCCTCAACCGAAAATTAACGAGTCTGCTGATTAAAACACAGATAATTATTTTATTAAATTAAATCTTACCACTGCTTACAAGCAACCGATTAAAAATATTGTATAAAATAAATTACTAAGATGCTTAAAAACCTAGGAGGATAATGACTTGTTAAATAAAAGTTAAGGTTTTTTGGAGAATCACCCACTTACATGCTTCAGATTTATGTTAATCTAGGATTCCATGACATTCATTGTGGAGACTTAATTTCAATGTACACAAATTTAAGCTTTATGTCTAAAAGATAAAGTTGCATATAACAAAATATACAATCGTAAATCACTCAAAGACTGCTCTAGTAAGAATTGTCCCGTTTACAATGAAACACCTCTTTCCCTCTGTCTTCAGTTGAGCACAGCTGCACAGCACAGTGCACAGTTAGGATTCCGAGCAAACAATTTACATCCATTCGTACTTCGCATTGATATTCAAATGGCGGTCTGTTGGTAATGTCCCCGTGACATTTCGTTGCAATAAACGGAACGGACTCGGGAAACAGGCCAGAATTTATACGGAGCCGCTGTATGATTAAACAGGGACGGATCACTGGCGAGTAATCAATGCAAACATGTTGTTTGTTGTTGAATATTTAGATTTTTCCCAGGACAAATGAATTTAGAACACGTTGCTTCCGTTTCTCAAAAGGATTTCTAATAATTGGAGTCTCTTGGCAGTTCAGTAATGGATGAATTTTGGAAATTATTAATCTATACTTATATTACAATTTGTAAGTTTGTATGTGGGGGTAATCTTTGGAACTGCTGGTCGGATTTCCAAAATTCTGTCACTGATTCATAGATAGCTGCAATGTTCATAAAACATCACAATGAAGCCGAGCGTGAGAGTAGCTAGTTTACACATAAGATAATATTCTCTGTGATGCACTCTGCAGTGTTCTTCAAATCTTTGGTCGCATCAGATTCACAAAAATCATTTTTTGAAACTTATAATTGTTATACAGGCAAAAGTACATAGGTGAGTGTTATATATACCTTCCTCGTCAATCATAATCCTACGTGCTAAAAATTCCACATCAAAATCTGTCACGAAGTTTTAAAGATCTAAGCATACATAGTGACAGACAGCGATAAGTGACTTTGTTTTACACTATGTTGTGATGATAGTCAAGTACTAAAAATACAACAAAACAACTTCATTAATAAATAAATGTCTCATAAATAAACGTTGTATGAAGTACTCGATTGAATTGCTTCAATGTAGTTTCGATATAACTTTGAAATGAGAGAAACAGTAACTGTCGTGGAAATGAAACTGAATTTAAACGCTGCCATTTACGACTGTACTGCACAGAGATGGATTTTACTGAACTAATTTAGCTGACACAACGTTTTTGTAGTTTTACAAATTTGATACTAAAATTCCTCCTGAGACTCACCGTTTTTAAAAGAGCATTATAAATATAGTATCCATTGTTTTTTATTACCTTGATATGATTGTTTATGGAATAAATCGCAGACGGAAAAATAGATTAAGATTAAGTTGAGATTGTGGGTGAAGCGCGATAATATACCGAGGCCTTAGAGCAGGATAATGAACGGGATGGTTTAAATATTTCAATCAAATATTTTATCGAACATTACATTACTACAGGTTTAATCTCATATGTACCTACTTAAAGTAACAAAAGACTTTAATCCACGTAACAAAAACATACGCAATCACGAAAAGCCATCCCCAAATCCGGCCCTGTCGCCCATAATACCAATAATTGGTGTCGCTTGTATCAGAATTGTACCGCGGAGACTCGAACTAAATGTCACTCGGACATTGCAAGTATTCGCGGAAGTAGGTCACAACATACAGTTCCCTTAAGCCTAATATCTCATGGCCATAAGAACCTGGATCGTGGATAGGGTTATCATATGACAGGCGTTTGCCGAATTTGAAAGACATTTTTAGGTTTAGACAGCGGGCGGGCGACATTGGTCTGAGACAGGCATATTAAGAAAGAAATTGGCAAACAATTTAATAAGTAAAAGCAATATTGATAACTCATTAAAACTACAAGATTGTATTTTGTGAGGATTTCCACGTTTATGTACATAGAAGAAAAGAAATAACATATAAAAAAATGTGTAATAAACCTCCTTCTTCACATCATCAGCCCATAAGTGCCCACTGCTGAGCAAAGGCCTCTTCTCACACGGAGAGGGTTTGAGCAATAATCACCACGCTTGCTCAATGCTGGTTGGCAATTTCAAACTTATAATTAGAGATTATAAGTCAAGGTTACCTCGCGATGTTTACCTTCACCGTATGTCTGAGACTAGAATGAGTTTGTTTGGACTGTTATTTGGCTATACTTTGGCTTACATACGTATGTAAGTATATCAATTGAGTGCCTACACAATCAAAGTTAAATTCAGCTTAATATTTGAAGTTTGAAATCTGCAAACAAACAGACGGATTACTTGATAGTGCGGCGAGGAGTACCGAGTTCGTTGTCGATCTTTTAGGGATAAGGTGAGGCCGTGGTATCACACCGGTCGGACCGGCCCCTTGGTACAGATGTATAAAATATCTATACTACTTGATGCAAAAAAACACGTAACAAAAAATTATGACAATAATCAAAGCTTGACTAGTTTACTGGGGAAAGTAACTACCTATTAATACAAGTAAAGCTACCCTCCTTCCCCCTCTGGATAAAATAAGGCGTGTTGTTTAACAATATGATATAACATGTGTTAAAATGTAACATTGTTTTAATTTACTACTTCATGTGCATTGGCTTACGTCCGCCGCGTCTGCGATGGTATCGCGTGCGCACGCGCATTCTTGTGCGTGAATGGGACCCTTGTTGAGTGAGCGCCGATAGCACTTATAAGCCATTGTGTTAGGTTCAACGTTCGACGATGGCTTTATTGGATATTGTTGGTTATTTGCTTACTTACATAATCGATTTAACCTACCTTTTAATATAGTTCGGAGTTGCTTATAAAGAAAATATACTTATAGTTATCGTTGTGTACACCGAATAGCATAAAATATATACATTAGTGTGGGCGAGCCACGCTTCAGCCGGCTTAAAACAACGATAGCGTTGTGTTTTTCCTTGTGAGTGAGGTAACCGCAGGCCCAATCCTTACCCTTCCCAATCCCTAAATTCCCAAAAGGTCGGCAATGCACTTGTAACTCGCCTGTTGTTTCGGGTGTCCATGGGCGTCGCTGATTGCTTACCATCAGGTAATTGTAAGCAATCAGTGTTTGCCGTCCTATCACTGCGCAATGTGGTACCTCGGTCTCTCGGTTTTTTTCAGTAAGAATCTGACACTCTCTGACATACTGGGCGGGAGAAGTCATTTGATGATTTTCCCCTGACTACAAAAAAAAAACCCTATTTACACCACACAAACCCACAATAATGTTTGAAGCAAGCATCTTGACCTCTCGACCGTTAGGTATTGTTTTTATTTATTTTAAATTAAAAAATATTATCATTCCAGTTTAGAATTATGGTGATGTTTGCGTTATATCTATGATCGTCCCATGGCAATCTGCCAATCTGCCATTACGACTCGACTGATGGATCAGCATAAACAGATGCTGTGATCTCAAGATATGATTAATTTTAGATTAAATTGAGGCTACGGGGTTATGAATGACTAGCACTAATTTTGATGTTTTTGAAATTATCCCAATAAGCTAGCATAATGTTGAAAGATGACGTGATAGTGCACTTTGCGTTACTTTGCGGCAATCCATGACTTAAATGTTTTGAAAAATATTTTGGCTTAGCTTTGATTCCGCGACAAAAAATCATGCATGTGCATACCCTAAGCAACGTTGTGTCTGGCGGTTGTGGTCAGGATTTTTGTACCTGTTTGAATTGTGTCGAGAACTGTTATACCGCGATGTAGAATCTTGAACGTGATTGGTGCTGTTGCTGCGTGATGTACGGTAGACGTCACTACAAATATTAGGATTCAATAAAATTAATTTTATAATTATTTATTTGACAGGAGGGTTATTGGGGCTTACAACTAGGTGGGTGTCGGCGTTGCTCGTGCGGCCCAGGCGCGTCCGCCTGCGACCCGGAGACCGGGGCCTGCGCCTGCGCAGAAGGCGTCGGTGGCGCTCACTGCGACACGTGTCTCCCTGGCTACTACGGCTTCGGACCTACTGGATGTTTACGTGAGTAATATTTACTTTTCAAGTACAAAATAAAACATCTAAAAAAATGTTTTTGACCTACTGATATCTTAGACAATAAGGCACAAAATAATATTGGCAATATATTTTTGAGACTACTTATAGAATACATTCTTTTTACACATGACACAGCGTGTCCAGAATGCACGGACGGCAAGGTGTGCTCCCCCCACAGTGGGCGGTGTGTGTGCCCGCCGGGGTCTATGGGCGCTGGGTGCAGGCAGTGTGCCCGCGGATACTGGGCCGTGGGCAATACCTGCAGGCCTTGCAGCTGTGGCTCGGGTGCAGTTTCTAGTAAGTTGACACTTCTTTAATATAAGAAAAAGGAGAAAAAAAGAAAAATCATTAGATCGTTGAAATGGAAATTAGTTATTTGTAGCATTTTATTGTTATCCCGAATGTTTCGTTTTTGGCCCTGGAACGGACTCCCGATTCTTTTACTCCACTTCGGTTTTTCTTAAGGTTTCCAAAACATGTGTTATTTACTAAAAAATAACTACTTACTGACGTGAAATTACTGAGAAAAGCTCTAGGTACTAGTTTGAAGTCATGAGCGGCGCGACGTTGCCGATACGCGCACGCTTCTCGTGTATAAGAGTCCCGGTGTGACTTGAAACTAGTAGAGCTTATCTCAGTTATTTTCACGTGAAATATTAGAGTCGTTATCTATACTAATATTATAAAGAGGTAAAATTTGTAAGTTTTTATGTAGGGGGTAATCTTTGGAACCGCTGGTCGGATTGCCAAAATTCTTTCACTAATCGATAGCTACAATGTTCCTGAGTGCTATAGGCTAAAACATCACGCTACGATTAAATGGAGCCGAGCAGCGAGTGAAACCGCGCGAGTGTAGCTAGTTTTTATTAAAATGTGTCATTTATTGTATAGTTTTTTCATAATTTTGAATCTGAATACATTCGTATCTTTCTTTTGGCCATTATTTTCTTGTATTATAATAAATTAATGATCTTTGTCATCCCAGACATATGCGACCCTCACTCCGGGCAGTGCAAGTGCCGCGCAGGCTGGGAGGGCCACACGTGCGAGCAGTGCGCGCGTGGCCACTACGGGCCCAAATGCCGGCCCTGCCAGTGCGACACTGCGGGCTCTAGGGACTGCGAGGACGGGCTCTGCCCTTGCGACGAGTGGGGACGGTGTCCTTGTAAGGTAAATAATACTTATTGAATTTTCAGAAGGTGTTTGATTTTGGAAACACCTTTTTCCAAACATGAGAGATCGGATATCTCTTAACTGGAGATATCCGATCTATCTTCTAAATCTTTTTGAAAATTTTAGTGGGATACATTTTGTTGATACATCATCTGTATCAGCCTAAAAGTGCCTACTGCTGAGGCCGCTTCTCACACGGACAAGGTTTGAGCATTAATCACCACGCTTGCTCAATGCGGGTTGGCGATTTCAAACTTGTAATTAGAAATGACAAGTCCAGGTTTCCTCACGACGATTTTCTACGCCGTATGGCATTGGTATCTCAATAACCATAGAAAATACATATTATTACAACTCGGCAAAGGTTGCATTGCTACTTGCCAACACTGTGATTCTGTAAGACTTCATTGTAAACTTCGAATCTGAATCCGCCGTGAGTAGTAGTACACTAGCGCTACACTTGCGAGTTGAACTAAATTGACAGCATCATTTTGAAAGATAAAGTATGAAATGACGTTAAAAGTGGCATTCTAAAATTTAATTTACCCGTCTCTTCGACGCTCACTTCGCACTCGAACACGATTCAAAATCAAACAAATTTTATAGAATCGACGTGCAGGTTTCAAACTTTCATGCATGAGATGCAGGCGCCTTAACCTCCGGGGAAACACAACTAAACCTTTTGTACACTGGTGAATTAGTTTATCTGATAATTACGACTAATTACTCTATTTACAGGAAAACGTAGTAGGCGAGAAGTGTTCAGAATGTCTGGAGGGTACCTTCGGGCTGTCTGCCCAGAACCCAGTGGGCTGCACAGCCTGCTTCTGCTTCGGTCGCGCAGCGCAGTGCCGGCAGGCGCAGCTTGCACGCGCAGCGCTGCACGCCGCTGCACCGCTGCATATTACACTGCAGCGCCCGCCTCATGACGTCATTACTACTGTTAGTATAAACGTTATTCTGATAGATCAGGCACCACAACTGCCAATTTTTTTAATATAAATTTTCGACTTTATTGTTTTATGATAAAGTACAAAACCTATTGTACTGTTTTGATGATTTTACACCATGCGCCTTGACATAAAAATATCTCCAAAAACTTACTCTAAACAAAATCTAAAACATTCTATTTTCCCCTCAGATGGACCAGGATTCCCTCTTAGCCATCCACACACACACGGCAGACGCTACGATCTCCCTTCCTTGGCCTCCTGTCCCGGTCTACGTTGAGCTGGACAAACGCTTCGTGGGAGACCGAGTGACCTCCTACGGAGGATCTCTCAGGTTCCGTGTAGAAGAGGAGGGAGGGGTCGAGTTAAGTAAAGAGGTGCTGACTCGGTTCCCTCTTGTGAGGATCTACAGTAAGAACATTGTGCTTGATTATTATGAGGTAAGTACTGTTTTGTGTCTGTTTTTATTTGTTAAATAAAAATGGATGGTTCTCTCAATTTAGTTCATTACGAATAGATTGAGTTTGTTTCGTTAATTTAAGAGACTAGTTACATAGCTAATGTTGACCTTCCATATATTAAAAATACACAAGTTTCAAGAACTATCTTTGTACTGTGGCAATTTTATTCGATTTGGCATCTTTGTTTTGTAATATAAATAAGTGAACTACAGTACCCCTAACCTATTTGTGTGATCATAGTTGGGTCCAGTGATAAACGGTTCCCACGTGGTCCGCCTCCACGAGTCGCTATGGACAGTGCGTGGGGGCGGGCGCGGACTGGGGGCCCGCGGGTCCCGCGCGGCGCTGATGCTGGCACTGCGCCGGGTGGACAGACTGCTCGTACGGGCCAGCACCAGGGCACCCACGCACGCTGAGCACGTGCACGCATTGTGAGTCTACACTTCTTTAATACTCTATATTATAGAAAACTTATTTAAGTTTCATGTGTAAAATCATGCCATAGGTAAAGGTCTGGAATTATATAGCTCTTACTGAAGTAAAACTACCTCATTCCTGTTCTTGCGCGTTTCGCAACCTCGGCTAGGCATCAGCTCTAGTGGGCCCGTCTCTAGAGGTCTGATGTAAATGGGCGCGCTACGCGACGCGCCACTAGCATCGGTCTTGTTCTAATCGAGCAACAAAATACCTATAAGGTCCTTACCTTATAGGTATTTTGTTGCTCGATTAAAATAAGGGTCTCAAGAAGAATAAGGGTAACCCAAGTTAAGGCTTATGTTGTTAGCGTAATGGTTGCCAGTTCTCAGGCAACCATTACGCTTTATATTGCTTATATGGCAAACTTTGTTTAAAATACCACAACTAACCTATCTAGACATAATTAGGGAAGGCCTGTTCAGTGTACGTCTCGTGGCTGATACATTGAAATATGATAATCTAAAACACATTTTTATACTCTCCAGGCTCCTCAACGTATCCTTGGACACTGCAATCCCCGGCCTAAGTCGCTCCGAGCCAGCATTAGGTGTGGAGCTGTGTGACTGTCCCCGCGGTTACTCCGCCAGCTCCTGCCAGACTCCTGCCATCGGGTTCTGGATGCCTCCACCCACCGTGCACATGACCAACGTGGCTGGCACCATCGTCATCAAGCTGGATGAGGAGGCTCAGCCATGTATTTGCAACGGCAGAGCTACTGAGTGCCATCCTGATACTGGGGAGTGTCTGGTGAGATGCAGTATTCTTCGTTATATTAACACGCTATGTATTTTTGTATTTTGTATTTATTTATTGTATGCTGAGCTTTGATTTTGACATCATAATATGTTTATTTGCTAGAACTGCACAGGCGGTACAGGTGGGCCCCGCTGCGCGGAATGTGCGGCGGGCCACTACGGGTCCCCCGGAGCGCCCGGGGGCTGCCAGGCTTGTCCCTGCCCCGAGCGCGCTAGAAACTTCGCCGACTCCTGCATCATGCATGATGGCAAGCTCCAGTGCCTCTGCAAACCTGGTGAGTAATTAGTACACACAGTCTGACAAATCAACTTTAAGTGAGATTCTAAGTATAATTTTATGTGGATTCTAATTTATATAAAATATGAAATAAAAGAATACGTGAAAAAAGACTTATCATCATATTTTGCGTCATTCTAATGTCTCTTAGTGGTCTTTTTTCGTTTCATATTGAACACAGTTCGTGATTGTCGGATACAAAACTGTATCAACTCATTCATAAAATGTCTTTAAACCAAATCGCAGGCTACACGGGTCCGGAGTGCGAGCTGTGTGCGGCAGGATGGCGGCGCGAGGGCGACGCGTCGGGCCCCTGCGTGGCCTGCGGCTGCGACCCGGCCGGCAGTCTCGGGCCCACCTGCGACCACTGGGGCCGCTGCCGCTGCAGGGACTTCGCCACCGGACCGCGCTGCGACCAGTGCAGGCCGCCAAGAACTTATATGGACGAGAATGGATGCAGACGTAAGTATTCTACTAAGCGCTTATTTTTTCATGGACTAGGATTTTCACTAGGATTTTCTCCGGTTTCGTGGGTGCGTTTACAAATATACAAATTCACATACATATTATACCCAAACCCGGAATAACAATTTGTGGATCACACAACGAATTGTTCCGTGCAGAAATCGAAACCGCAAAACGTTGCGCCGCAGCGAGTTGCTTCTGAATGATGTCATTACATGAAGCGTGTATTAAATGTACATTTTACTTCCAGCATGCGACAACTGCACTCAAACACTCCTAGACTCCGTTGAAACTCTAACAGCAGAACTACGCACCAAAGCAGATCCCAGGGAACTGAGCCGAATACCGAAACCATTCGCCGCAGTGCGAGAGTTCTCTGGCAACGCCACTGCACTTAGATCTAGTCTTGAACACTTAAAGAATAATTTAGTACATTCCAAAAACTTAGAAAATATGTTAGGAGACTTGGAGAACGCTGAACATAGAATTTTCACTGAAGCGAATAGTTTGAAGACTGAAGCTCAGAAGAGAGAGAAGGACGCTGACTACTTGAGTTTGGAGAGTATGTCTGCTTTGGAGGAGGTTTTGAAGGTCAGGAGGAAGGTCAGCGAGCTGGTGGAAACACTGGACGAGTTTGCTCGAGGGGAGAAACACCTGAGCGCACACAGGGCACTGAAGGAGGCACGGCATCTACTGAAGCAGATAAAGGATGTAAAGTTTATTGACTACGTGACCGGCGCTAATGATGTGTTTGATTCTGTGAGTTTCCAGATTATTATTATTTCGTATAATACCTTAATAAAACATTAAGTTGCTCAACATCAAACTAATTAAGCATTAAATCCAATTTCAATACACTGGAAAAATATCTAATAATTTCCAATAAATCCGCAGGCACATCTACAATCAACGGCAGTGCAGGAGAGGAACTATAGGCTAGAAGACACATACAGACGGTTGGCCAAGCTCAGGTCCTCCCTGGACAGCTGGGAGCTGAAGGCTGCAGAGCTGCAAAGGCTGGCGGAGACAGTGTGGCGAGCTGATGACACCGTCACCGCGCTCCGGGGGAACGTGCGGCCACGACTTTCGGCACTCAGAGACCTGGGGCTACGCTGCCGACTCGTGCTCGAGGTAGGTCCATAATAGTAGCAATAATTAGCATTATGAGTTTTTTTTATCTATGTCTCAGGACGGCAAACGAGCAGACGGATTACCTGATGGTAAGCAATCAGCGACACCCGCAACAACGAAGGAGTTACGAGTGCGTTGCTGACCTTTTCGGGATTGGAATTTTGGGGATTTAGGGATTGGGGAGGGTTTGGGATAGGAGAAGAATTGGGCCTCCGGTAACCTCACTCACATGGCGATACACAACGCTGTGGGTGTTTCAACAAAGCCGTGGTTTCACTTCGGTCGAGCCGACCCATTCGTGCCGAGTTAATCTACTCTTGGCTCCCAATAAATGGTGTGCCCACTGGACCCCTAACTATATAGGTCACGTTCGTCCCTTGAATGTGGAGAAAGATTATATTTTTAATAGATTATTTTCCATAAAAATTTTTCTTCTTGACCCCCAAAGTTCAGTTCAAGTTATTTAAATTCTATCAGTACTTCTTAACTGAATACCCCTGACTGAATGATTAACACATAGGCAACTTTTATCTACCACGTGGACGAAGCCGCGTGTGGAAGCACGTAGGTGAATCTACGGAATAGCTGTCAAATTATGAATCGACGGACAGAAATGTCCATGCAAGAGTTTTGACTGCACGATTGGTGCGGTGGCTGGGCAACTGGCTGCCGTGCAACGTGTCGCGGGTTCGATTCCCGCACGGAACAACTCTTTGTGTGATCCACAAACTGTTGTTCCGGGTCTAGGTGTCTTGTGTATGTGAAAATGTATGTTTTTAACAGCACCCACGACACAGGAGAAAATCCTAATGTGGGGCAACATTTTTTTTTAAAAGAAAAAAAAAGAGTCTTATGGAGGAGAAAGAATTTTAATCTATTATACATATTATGCTAACAAGACAATTAATTTGTATGTTTGCAATTTGTCCCAAGGACATTACAACATTATCAGCGCACAACATCACGGACGAAATCCGAAGCTCATTACTGCAGGGTCAGACCCTGGGTATCAGATTCCCGGCCCTAATAGCTGAGCTGTCGGTGCTGACCCAGGCTGCGGAGAAGAAGGAGGGCATCCTCTACAACCTCACTCCTGTGTACAAACAAAAGTACTTGGAGGCCGTGGAGAAACATGTCGCGGAGTTAGGAGTCAAAGCCAAAGAATATAAAAGGTAAAGATAAGTGATGTATTTATGTAGATGGGAAGTTTTGTTTATTATGTAGATTGTGTGCGTCAAAAAATACCTATAAACTTTTTTCGTTTTATGCTTTTTTCGGGTTCATGGCTCATTAATAGTTGATTTTCTAAATAGTCAGTATTAGGTACTTATATTAGGAAACTAGGTACTCTCGCGCGATTTCACCCGCTACCCGGTTTTATTTAATCGTAGCGTGATGTTTTATAGTCTATAGCACTAAGGAACATTGTAGCTAGTCTATCAGTGAAAGAATTTTGGCGACCAGCGGTTCCAAAGATTACCCCTTAAATACAAACTTACATACTTACAAATTTTACATCTTTATAATATTAGTATAGATTGGTACAATAAGTAAAATACTCGTTCTGAAATATAGTTTAGTAGCCGACATTGGACAATAATTAATCCAAGTAAGCAGCACATAAAACCAGAGCTAATGTTCGTTGTAGGTTATTCGCGGGCAGTCGGTCCGCGGCGTCGCTGGGGGTGTCGGCGGCGCAGGCGTGGGCGCAGGTGGCGACGCTGGTCCGCGAGGCGGGCGCCGCGGCCGACGCCGCCGCGCGGACTGCCGCCGCCGCCGCGCGCGCTGCCGGCGCCGCCGCCGCCTCGCTGCACGGCACCATGACGCTGGCGCAGTCCGCCGCCACCGGCCGACAGACCTCGGAGGACCTCAAGGCGCGCGGACAACTAGTGCTCGCCAAAGCTGACGGTACGTCACTCATTTTAAAACATTTTATGGCACGGTTTATCAACTATATACCTTAATGTTATTCAATTGCTTTGTTGATGACCCTGATGCTTGTAATCTCCTGATGATCCGACTACTTTTCAATAATTTCCTTTCGTAACAAATCTTATATTACCAGTAACAAACACTAGAAAAGAGTAACCGAAATCAGTTGAACTGTTCTCGAGATTTGTGCTTAGCACATTATTAATCGAATCATTAATATATTAAAGTAGATGTAAGTGCATCACTTTGCTAAAGAGCAAAGACACATTAACATATGTACGACATAACAAAAATTGTAGAAAACCGCTGAATGCAGATCAGTACCCATTTTGTAGCTATTCTGGTCCAGTCATATTATGTTTAAAATAATTTTAACTACTTTTCTAAATTTCGTATACTGTATATCTATGTATGTATGTTGTTTAGTACATATACATAGTCGTGGAATGTATGTTGTTTGTCCGAACGAATAAGCCTTTGCCTTATTGTGTAAATAATTATCTTCTACTGTTACCAATGTGTAAGTAAACTACAAAATACCACCCAGTTATACATTACGTTATTTATCCGTCCATAGAACTTAGAAACCAATTGGAACATCTTCGCCGCGGTGCCGACGTCGTGAGCGTAGTCCTACGAGGTCTCGGCTGGCAGGAGCGGGAGCTCAGTGGCCGGCCTAAGGCCAACGTGCAGGAGATCCTAAATGCGGCCAACGAACAGGCAGATAGGGTGTTCACCAGTACCAGGGTGCTGTATGATGAGGCCAGTGAGTTGAGGAGGAGAGTCCGGTACCATCTCAGAAGACAGCTCACTGAGTTGCAAAGGCATGGGGACACGGCGTTAGGAGCTGCGCAAGAGCATGGTAAGAGTGTGTGAATTATTGCTGCTTTTTTTATTTGGTTGTGCACACTTCTATTTTTCTGTTGCGAGATTACAGATGTTTGAGGCCTGAAAGGTTATTTCAGTTTTAAGTGTTAATGAATAGGAAAATGAGCGGGGATTGCACAATTGTCGCGGTGGTCGGGCAACTGGCTACCGCGCAACGTGTTTTGGGTTCGATTTTTGCACGGACCAACTCTTTGTGTGATTCACAAATTTGTTGTTCCGGGTCTGAGTGTAATATGTGTGTGAAACTGTATGTATGTAAATGCACCTAGGACACAGGAGATCTAGTGTGGGGCAACGTCATTTTTTAATAAAAAAGAGATTAAATGAACCATCATTAGTGAATGTTTATTCCTTTTGCTCATGATGTCGGTCTCCCGCAGTGTCCCAGATCCGCAGTAACACGGTGCGTGGCGCGGAGACGGCGGGCGCGCTGGCAGACGCGGCGCGGGCGCGGGCCCAGCAGCACGCGGCCGCGCGCGCCCTGCTGCGCCCCGCACTCGCACACCTCGCTCACAAACTCGCCAGGGCACGACATGCTGCACACACTGTAAGGATACTATTTTTTATTCGAATTTTCTTTTTTTTATGTGATAGGTCGACAAACGAGCTAACGGATTACCTGATGGCAAGCAATCAGCGCCGCCCATGGACACCCGCAACAACGAAGGAATCAGAGTGCGTTGCCAGGCTGCGGTTGTTTCACGCCAGTTTTTTGTGACACCGTGGTATTACTCCGGATAAGCCGACCGTTTCGTTCTGTTTTTTTTATATAATACGTATTTATTTTAAATATTTACCTCGATCCAAAGAATTCGAATTAAGATCTATTACAAATTTTCCATTGATCTTTGTCATAAAGGCTACGTTTCAGAAAAGTTGCCATAACAAAACCTTGTCCCCAGATCTCAGTATCGCTAACATCGGTTCCGGGTGCCGGGGTAGGCTGCGCACGCGCATACACAGTGACATCAGCGTCCCCTGCCGTCACGCGGCTGGCACTAGCACTGTCATTCGATAACAAGATCAGGGATGGACCTCTACTTTACCTCGCAGATGATACACAGGTATTTTAGCGATATTTGATCTTAGATTTGTTAAGCTTAGTAATGTATAAAGCTCATCGATCCCTTTGAAAAGTAATTTCTTCCAACTCCTGTCGCCTCCCCATAAAAAACCTTATGTAAAGTTACCAAGTACGAAAATGGTGGTGGTTCGTGATGGCCTTGAAGTCGAGACAACCGCTTCTAGGAAGCAGCTAGCTTTGCTGGTGAACAGACTAAAGGACTATTATTCTATTCTAACTTTTCAAAATTACCTGTTTATTATGGTTTAGTTGGAAGAAATTATTTTGACTTTATCTTTGATATGGTAGAGGAAACTATCTTAAAACATGAAATTATGAGTCCAATAATTTCAAATTGTAAAGTTCTAAATCGCCAATTTCAAGTATCCCATTCTCCATGTGAGATTTTTTGCTCAGTTGCGAGCGTAGGCCGATGATGATGCTTGTTTTCCTTGCCCTACTTTATTGTAACGTATTTTACTACGAGTCATAACTTCCACAGGATACGGAGAGATACATGAAGTTATCGGTAATTAGCAGCAAGTTACGCCTGTCGTGGAACTTGGGAGCCGGGGAGGGGGTACTGGTGCATCCGGAGCTGCTGCAGCCAACGCACGATGATGCAGACCATACCTCCTACAGGGTGGAGATCGAACGGTCAGTTGATGCTAAACTACCATTTAATTACGCTGATTTAAAATTTGCCTGTACTTTTTCCTTATCTTACTGATATTATAAATGCGAAAGTTGAGATGTTTAGATGTTTGTTACTCAACCACGCCATAAAATACACTCCGGAATAGGACATAGGCTACTTCTTATCAAATTACAACTCGAGAGAAGCCGCAGACGGAAGCTAGGTTTAATTAAATTTAGAAAAAACCCCTAATTTTAAGGGTTGTTTTTTTCTGTCTGAGTTCAGAACGATTTTAAGACTAGTAATTGAATATGATGCAGCATTGGAGTTCTTTAATATTATCGCATTACGTTATTCAAATCATAAGTATATACATACATCGCAGCATCACACTTGGCTTTGTGGTAGAATTAATTATTTAATAAGTAAGTTATGGTATCTGTCCAAAGGGTATGGAACTCAGTACAGTTAGTAGTGGAGCGTGCCGGCGCTGCCGCAGTGAGGGCGCGGAACTCGAGCGCCCCGCGCGCACACAGCCTGCGCCCGCGCACCCTGTGGCTGGGGGCCGCCAGCGCGGGCCCCGCCACCACGGGCCCCAGCTCCCTGGGCCCCGGGCTGCCGGCCTGCGTGCACGCCTTATACTCGGACCAACGCACGCTGGGACTCTGGAACTTCGCCCACCAGCCTCAAGACGCACAATGTACCGGATGCACTCAGAGGTATCAAAAAATATTTAATTCATCAATGCCCAAGCCTATCTATTATTGACTTGGAAAGAGACTGACCTGTGAGTTTTTATCGGCATTTCTTTTCAGAGTAGTCAGATAGGAAATGCCGGCTTCATCTAGTTTTTTAAAAGTGCCGTTTTACGGCCTATTTGCAAAAATAAATTCGTTGTTTCATTATTGTCTTACTATTGTGTCTCGAATTACCTACCACGATTGAAACGTTAAACACCCTTTTTAATTTTAAAAATTCAAATGTTTTGCAATTATATTATAATGTCTTGAACTTACTAAAACTAGCTATCTTGGATATTTCAAATATCACTTTCGTTTCCCTCTACATGTAACGAAACTAGAACATCTTCGGCTCGACTCTGATAGAAACATGTGAATCGATATGAAATTTGTTTTACAGTTTTACAGATTAAAAAATAAGGCATTTTTGAGTTTCTAAAACTGCTCGAAATTTTGTCTTTCTTCTTGTAATTTATTATAATTCTATGTTTATATCTCCAGGTGGTATAGTAGTCGTGGTAGCGAACCTTCGATGGTGTGGTTCAACGGCGCCGGCTACGTGGAGCTGACGAGGTCCCGGGCTCGGCCGGCGGACCGGAGGCAGTTCAGCGTCGCCTTCACCTTCCGCACCAGGGACGAAAATGCTCTGCTCTTCATGGCACTGGATACTGCTAACGTATGTATAATTTAATAATACCTAGTATTCGTTTTTAAAATACCCCATGGCCATAAGTCTGTTTGAACTAAGCTTTTCAAAGCTTAATATGCCTGGAATCTTTCAAATTATACCTTATAGCGTTCACTAAAAGAGAGAGACAGAGAGAGAGAGAGAGAGACCGCGGCGTTGCTCCCGTCATTTGACTATCTACCCTACTCTACCTAACCTAAACTACCTACCTATGTCCTATCCTATGTCCTTCTCCTGGCTCTAAACTACCTCCTTGCCAATTTTCAGCTAAATCGGTTCAGTCTTTCTTGATTTATAGGTGGAGTAACTAACACGACTTTTTTATACATATAGATATATAATATATAGATAGATAGAAAGGTGTACTAAGTATAGTGAGGTTGATGTTATAATAAGTCGTTGTCCCGCAGAACCGGTCAGTATCGGTATGGCTCCGGTCGTGCCGCGTGGTGTTCGTGGTGGAGTACGGCGGCGGCGCGCGGCTCGAGATCACGGCGGCGGGCGCGCACTGCGGCGGCCGGCCCGCGCACGTGCAGGCCACGCGGGCCTTCGCCAGCAACAAGCTCGAGAAAGGTAACGTGCTGCACCAGCTCTAACAGTGCTCACTGCGGCGGCCGGCCCGCGCACGTGCAGGCCACGCGGGCCTTCGCCAGCAACAAGCTCGAGAAAGGTAACGTGCTGCACCAGCTCTAACAGTGCTCACTGCGGCGGCCGGCCCGCGCACGTGCAGGCCACGCGGGCCTTCGCCAGCAACAAGCTCGAGAAAGGTAACGTGCTGCACCAGCTCTAACAGTGCTCACTGCGGCGGCCGGCCCGCGCACGTGCAGGCCACGCGGGCCTTCGCCAGCAACAAGCTCGAGAAAGGTAACGTGCTGCACCAGCTCTAACAGTGCTCACTGCGGCGGCCGGCCCGCGCACGTGCAGGCCACGCGGGCCTTCGCCAGCAACAAGCTCGAGAAAGGTAACGTGCTGCACCAGCTCTAACAGTGCTCACTGCGGCGGCCGGCCCGCGCACGTGCAGGCCACGCGGGCCTTCGCCAGCAACAAGCTCGAGAAAGGTAACGTGCTGCACCAGCTCTAACAGTGCTCACTGCGGCGGCCGGCCCGCGCACGTGCAGGCCACGCGGGCCTTCGCCAGCAACAAGCTCGAGAAAGGTAACGTGCTGCACCAGCTCTAACAGTGCTCACTGCGGCGGCCGGCCCGCGCACGTGCAGGCCACGCGGGCCTTCGCCAGCAACAAGCTCGAGAAAGGTAACGTGCTGCACCAGCTCTAACAGTGCTCACTGCGGCGGCCGGCCCGCGCACGTGCAGGCCACGCGGGCCTTCGCCAGCAACAAGCTCGAGAAAGGTAACGTGCTGCACCAGCTCTAACAGTGCTCACTGCGGCGGCCGGCCCGCGCACGTGCAGGCCACGCGGGCCTTCGCCAGCAACAAGCTCGAGAAAGGTAACGTGCTGCACCAGCTCTAACAGTGCTCACTGCGGCGGCCGGCCCGCGCACGTGCAGGCCACGCGGGCCTTCGCCAGCAACAAGCTCGAGAAAGGTAACGTGCTGCACCAGCTCTAACAGTGCTCACTGCGGCGGCCGGCCCGCGCACGTGCAGGCCACGCGGGCCTTCGCCAGCAACAAGCTCGAGAAAGGTAACGTGCTGCACCAGCTCTAACAGTGCTCACTGCGGCGGCCGGCCCGCGCACGTGCAGGCCACGCGGGCCTTCGCCAGCAACAAGCTCGAGAAAGGTAACGTGCTGCACCAGCTCTAACAGTGCTCACTGCGGCGGCCGGCCCGCGCACGTGCAGGCCACGCGGGCCTTCGCCAGCAACAAGCTCGAGAAAGGTAACGTGCTGCACCAGCTCTAACACTGCTCACTGCGGCGGCCGGCCCGCGCACGTGCAGGCCACGCGGGCCTTCGCCAGCAACAAGCTCGAGAAAGGTAACGTGCTGCACCAGCTCTAACACTGCTCACTGGGGCCTGGACTGCGCAGAATCCATTCACGACAGTAGATCCGTCCCACTGTCTTTATAAAATAATCCGCCGTAGTATCAAGTTTAAGCAGTTTGAGATTCCTGATATTCTTCAGAAGACTAGTTTGTCTTATCTATGCTAATACTTAATTATAAAGCTGAAGAGTTTGTTTGTTTGAACGCGCTAATCTCTGGAGCTACTGGTTCGAATTGAACAATTTCTTTTTGTGTTTGTTAGTCCATTTATCGAGGAAGGCTAAGCTTTACTGAGCTAAGTAGCGTGAAAGTAGCTAGTAATATCTATGGCAAATAGTCTGAAAAAAGTGTTTGACGTGTATCTGAAAAAATACGTGGGTAATAAGTCCTTTACCCCTTACCCCCGTGTGGGTGAGGTAGCCACGTGTACGTGGAGTATTGAGGTGGTCCTGTGGCAGGCAGCCTGCGCGTGAACGGCGAGGAGACGCTGGGGTCCCCCGCGCCGCCCGTGCAGGCCGCCGCCGCGCTGCCCGACCTGGCCGGCGCCCGCTACTGGCTGGGGGGCGCGCCCCCGGGACATGCCCACGCCACGCCCGCGCCCCCCCTGCTGGGCTGCGTCGGGGCTGTCACCGTGGACCGAGCTGGTTACGATCTCCTGGACGCGCCTACTAGGCATGGTTTGGAGCCACGCTGTGGGGAAAGGGTAAGCTTTTTTGTTGTTTAGCCCGTTTGTCTATTGTAAGCGCATCATAGGTTTTTTTTTATGTGATCGGCCGTGATGCCGTTGTGATGACCGCAACAGAAGAGTTACGAGTGCGTTGCCGACGTTTTGAGGATTAGGGATTTGGAGATGTTAGCGATTGGGGGAAGGGAATGATTGGGCCTCAGGTAACGTCAGTCACATGGCGAAACACAACGCTTTGGTTATTCCACGCCGGTTTTTTGTGAGGCCGTGGTATCACTCCAGTCGAGCCGTCTCATTCGTGCCGAAGCATGGCTCTCCCACGCTTAGATTTTTTAAGATTGGTTTTAATACTACTGTACAAGTTCAGTTATTTATTTTAGTAGAGACTATCATTGTTATTTTTGCTCTTCTGCTTCTGTTGATTTATATTCTTCTTAATCACCAGACGCTTCGCTCAGCTATAGTATCAGGCGAGGGTTACATAGAGCTCCCCTCCCCCGGGCTCCGCCGCAAGGCAGAGCTCGGTGTATCGTTCAGTGCGCGTGCACCGAGCGGAGTGCTCCTGTACCGCGCGCCTGAATCACCCGCAGACCAGCATTATCTCGCGCTCATCTTGGTAGCAGGTATAGTTTTGAATTTGGACCTAATTAGAGACGTTTTTAAAGTCGAAAATCATTTAGACTGATTCACAAAGTATAAAGTTGTCATTCCTATCTGTTTAATTTACTTAATTAGTTTTTGTACCCTATATAAATAGATATAAAGTTGAAAGTCTATTAAATAGATAGATTCAAATAGGTTGATGATTCTTTTATAGGTGAGCTAGAACTAGTGGCAGCGGCTGGAAAAGGAGAGATACGTTTGCGAACCAACGGAACCAGGTTCGATGACGGGAGGATGCACACCGTGACGATAATAAGGATGCATAAACAGGTACTTAACACTGCCTATTTATAAGATGCCACCATTTGCACGTTCAAATTTCACTCTTTTGTAGGTAAAAAAAGAAAAGTCTAATTCTTGTAATTATCATATATATGAAAACAATAGTTTTTGTTACATAATGATATTTACTTTTTTGATTTTTCTAATGGATATTATTATTATTGTGAGACATACCAACTAAAATTTAAAATATAGACTGACGTGAATTAATTGAGATAAGCTGTACTAGTTTCAAATCAGAACAGGACTCTTATTTATGAGCAGCGTGCGCGTCGCAAAGTCGATATTTACGTTTAAGTTTTGTAAAACCTATAATAAAATGAAGTTAAATTAGTGATTTTTATTCGTCTATTTCAGCTAGAGCTATGGGTGGATGACGAGCAGTTTGCTAGAGGGGCACTCCCAGGGGGAGCGTACCCCGCGCAGCCAGGGGGGCTGTTCCTAGCGGGGGTGCGGGGTCTTACACACCCTGGCATTCCACTGGAATCCTTTAAGGGAACTATTGCTGATTTCATCGTGGATTCAGAGTAAGTGTATTTTCTCAACAACAAAAACTTCCTCTCTGGAGCCCTGAGTCCCCACTCAGGGCTCTGCACTTACGAGAGGGAGTGTCAGACTGTTTCTAATCCTCCGTTCTTTTTCCTGCCTCGAGCCGAGGCTAAAGCAGTTTATTGAGCTTGCTCCGTAACCGGCTGGTTACAGTAAAAGCTTATGTATTTCTTGTCATGTTTTACGGTACAAAAGTTATCTAGTTTTTATGTTTTCACCGCTATAGTTATTTAGTTGAATTAAGGCAAACGATGTATTGGTGATGCCGCTACAAGTAAACATTTCGAGTGCCTTACGTGTGTGAGTGTGACCAACTCGCGCATAGTCGGTTATAACTTTCTCAATGCAATGGTTTTCAACTTGTACGTTTTTTTATTATAAAGGTTTTATAAATTGTGCATCTTCTCTCAGACTGATAGGTCTAGAGACAGCAGTATCGTGGCACGGCGCGCAGCTGGGTCGAGCGGAGGAGGGAGCCGGGACGGTGCCTCCCCCTCCTCCCACTCAGCACGCACAACACGACGCTGCGCCTGCGTGCACTAAGGTAACTTGAACTTTACTTGTTACTAAGAAAAAACAACAAATTAATTAACTGCAATTTCGATTGCTGCATGATCTATTTTTGTTACTTAAGAAGTCCTTAGAACCTGGGTCGAAATTAAAGGTAAGTTTATATTTTATCGACACTGAAATGTTCGAAAGTGATGTAATTTCCCCTAGTTTAACACGTGCTAACATTCGGCAGACATCGTCGTACACCGTGGAGGCGGGCGCGGTGAAGTTCGGCGACGTGTCACACAGCCACGCCTGGCTGCGCACGCGCCGCCGCGGGGACGTCGCGCTCACGCTGCAGATACGGACGTACGCCACTGACGGACTCTTGATACTCGCACCCGTATGTACTAACTATTACTTACTGATACTTATGATTACAATCGTTATCTTTCATGTATTTCAATATTTCGTTCGAAAATGGCCGTAGTTTGATCCAGATTTATTAATTATTTATTTTTTTGAATTTAATAATACTTTTTTTTAAGGATTATTATTTGGATCGATGATTAAGTCCTGTAAATAAACTGGGAGCATTAAGTACCTAAGCAAAATAATACATATATTTGTTTTATGACAATACTTTTCCACAGGGTTCAAAAGCAAAACCGAAGCACTTTATGTGTTTAATGCTACGTGAAGGCAAGTTACGTTTAGTGGTGCGCGGGCGCAAGCGGAAGGAAGTGTCCCTCCCCTCCAGCGTTAGTGACGGGGCGTGGCGCCAGGTGTCGCTGAAGGTGTCGCGGGGCCGCGCCTGGTTGGCCTGCGCAGGCGCATCCGCCACTGTGAGGGGGGCCGCTACAAGGGCACAAAGGTTATACGTAGCTGGTCTTCCACCACCTCCTGCATTACCTAATCTACCCAACGCTGTAAGTGTTTCACATATTATCGATTTCAATTTTCCTCCCTACCAGTGTAATGATTCTGTGCAGAAATCTAACCTATAACATATTGTTAGTACTTTTATTTCTTATCTTCATCATCATCAGCCCGTTTCCATCCATTACCGGATACATAATGCACGTAATAAATTAAAAACAACACTAAAAATAAATGTTATCTATCAGATAACCCGTATTCCTGGTTTCCGCGGCTGTATCCGCCGCGTGACGCTGAATGGTCGCGCGGAGGACTTGGTAAGGGATGCGCAGGCGCACCACGGAGTCGGACAGTGCTTCCCTAATATAGAACAAGCTGCTTATTTCGGAGGTAAGTCCATAATTAATAATGTTGTGACCTTGTACGAATTTGCTTTGTGTTGACACGATCAAAACGTTAGCACGTTAAGCCCTCTGATTAGTTGATCAACTAGAAACAGTCCAATCAGAGCACTGAACGTCATAATCGCGGCGATCGCCTCACCGTATCTATAGAAAATTGGCATAAGGCACTCCGGGAAATGACTTTTTATATTATGTCGACATTAAAATAAATTTAACCTACATTGATTTTAAATGTAGCTGTTGATAATAACAATAAACAGTTATTGTAATAAATATTATGTGAAACAATCTTGGAAAGCAACACTGAAAGTATCTTACAAACTGTAAAGTATCACCTAAAAATCCCTTTACATAGGTGATGCGCACGCGATCTGGTCGAGTTCATGGCTACTGACGTCCGACGGGTCGGAGGCGTCCACCGAGCTCAGGCTGCAGTTCCGGACTAGTGAACCCAATGGAGTACTTTTGGCTGCCGCCGGGTTACTGCTTGAAGTCAAAGATGGCGCTGTAAGTCAACTATTTTAAATTAAACACATGTGAATTCTAATATCAAACGTTAAACGTAATGAAATGTCTCTCTCTCACTCTTAAAAAGTATCTTTGACTAAATAAGAATTCTGACGAAGTATTTTTGTTCTGTTTATTTTTAAAATTAGCCCTTCGTAGGAGGCCGAAGATGGTTTTTATATTAACTATATTCCTAGCAATATGTTTTTCAAATTTGAAATCACTGCCATATTTTACGCATCTTAAGCATATATTCCAACTCCACACTACACCTTTCGAATGGTAGAGAAATATTCTTTGGCACTAATGGAATAGACCGACTGGAGTGATACCACTGCCTCACTGAAAACCATCGTAAAACATTCGCGTTATTTCGTCAGGTAAGCGAGGTTCACAGAGATCTCTTCCCCATACCTCGACTTTGATGTCTATGGTGATGGCACTGATCGCTTACCATCACGTGATCCATCAGCTCAAATACTATAATAAAGTAGACTACAGTACCTACGTATGTTTTGTGTAGGTGGTGCTATCGAGGCAAGGCGCAGAGCGGTCCCGCGTGAGCTGGCGGGGCGCGGGCGGCGAGGCGGGGGGCGCGGCGGGGGGCGCGTCGGGGGGCGCGGCGTGCGACGCGGCGTGGCACAGCGTGCGCGCACGGCTCACGGCGCGTGCGCTCGAGCTGCAGGTGGACGCCGGACAAGTGCTCAGGGACGCGCCCACCGCACTATTGCTAGACTCCAGCGACACTACCACGACACCCACTCCGCTATACATCGGCGGGCTGCCTGGTATGTTAACTATTAAGTTACCTATTCATTGGAATGGCTTTGTGCCTAATCTAGCCTTTAAACTAGCTTGTGTAGTTTGAGTTTTTTTATGAGGGGAAAATCATCAAATGACTTCTTGCCGCCTATGGTGGGGCGAGACTCTCACTGGCTAGAAAACCCCCATTCCTTTTCCTGATCTATTTGATTCATTTTAAATCTATAATTCCTAATATACCTACTAAAGTAAATTACATACCTAAATCAATTAATTTATTATTCCAGAAGGCGTAATGGAATCAACAGATGGTGGTAAAAATTTCAACGGATGCATTCGCGACGTCTCCATAGGTGGGCAACAGCGAGACTGGACGGAAATGGAATCCATACACAATGTTTTACTAGACTCCTGCCCAATACCGCAGTAGACTTTAACTAGCCAGCTATTAGGTTCAAATTCCAGTTACGAAACTTGGTAACAGTGCCATGCTTAGCCGGTGAAGAGATCGGTGCAAAATGGTTGAATAAATCCTTTGTACCTAAAAACATAAAGGCTGACTTAAAATAATTTGAGTTTAAATAATTTGGCAGCGACCTTTTGTGTTAGTTTTTATTTACAACTTATTAAACTCGATTACTTACTCTAAAGGTAACAATGGAGCTCTCTTTTTGCTCACCGGATGGCACTCGGGTAGACTCACTCAGAGAATGAGCTAGTATTACGCCATTAGACGTTAATTGTTTTTACAGCTAGCGCTTTGAAAAACTGACCTCTTTCTAGAATGACCGCCATCTAGTGAGCAAAACTGTAGTCCCATTGGATATTTTAATAACATCAAATGTGACGCAGGTAGATGTCGCTACCTTATTATTTAAACAGTCTGTAACGTGCCTTATATTCATTAAGTTTTACCAAATAGTGCCATTATACTTATTATAGCCAATGAAGTGAGTAAAGTCTGATTCACACGTTAAAACGGTAACTTGATTAAAATACAAATATCTTCATTAAACAAATATCTTCATTAATAATGCTTCTGTTCTGTGAAAATCAGAACATCTTATCTAAAAAAATATCTGCTATCTTCTTTAGATACCAAATAAATGTTGACAAATAAATAATAAAATAACTACGATAAGAGAAAAATAATGTACCTTTAACATGATAAAGTAATTAAAAATAAGTATAATTTCCGCAAATAATAGAAAAATCTATTTAGATATTCTATTTTAATCAAAGTGTTGCCATAAACATGGATACCTATAAATTCATATTAATCAAATGAACAGTTTTTAAGAATGCCTTGCAATAAGTGTAGAAATGTGTTGACAGTGAGGCTTTTATGAGGCTATGTAATAGGTTAATGAAAGGATAGTCTGTCGCGAATTACTTTATTCACAATTTAATAAATATTTTCAATATAATGCGTAATAGAAATGATTTCTTACTTATATTCAAACTAGTCGTGATTACTTTAATGATAATGAACTTAGTAAATTACATTTTTATCATAGTTTTTGTCTACGAATAAAAGTAGTCCGCGACAGCAAATCACTCCAGCGACCAATACTCGACGTAAAATGTAAATAAAAGTACTTAATAATTTCTACCAGTATTTTTATAATAATTTGTACATATTAGTTATACTTTTTATCTTTATAGACTTTTTAGAAATTTTAATAGGTAGTTCTATAGTATATAGTAGCTACACCAGAGACAAAAATGAAATAAGTCAAATGTCGCGCCAAAATTCGCAAGATGGCGGATATATTTTCTGGTGGGGCAGTACACTCAGCCAGTTCCTTGGTTTGATCATGAGTTTGTTGAACTTATAACTGTTCACATACCAAGTTGATAATGTTTTTTACTTCAGTTTAAAGATACTAATAAAACAGTCATTAGATTAAACCTTCCTATCATTAAAATGTCAATCAGCAGGTTCGATCAGTTCTATTGTTAACTTTTGCATGAAGTTATGAACTACAAAAACAAAATAAAGTGATGTCTTAATAGATCTGCCGGACAAAGAAAAATAAGTCATTTGCCTATAAACCGATTCCCCTAGAACCTCTCTGCATAGTGAAATAAAAGGAGGAACTTCTTGCCTGTTGGTTAGAATGGTTCATTATTCTTTTGTTGATGTTTGCATCTATAGATTTATAATGTTATTTAGAACACTGATCAATGTATTTTTATAGTCGCACTTGTCACACAAACTTATAAATATTTAATGATTTTTAAACTTGGCAAATGTGATTTACACCATATATTTATGTAAAACAGGGTGAATAGACATTGGCGAATTTTCCTGGTCACCCCTCTTCCTTGTATATTCACCCCGTTTTACCGTACCTACTTAGTTGGCTTGTTGGGTTTTTTTTTTTGCTGGGACACGTCCTCTTTACCCATCGGATTGTACCATTTTACAATCTGGTAATTTAATGTACTGGTGTTACTATGAACTGAAGTACACAATATAATAAAATTTTGCATAATTTAAAAACTTTAAACAGTTGAGGCCCTTTTATGTAGCACGGTTTTCTACATACAATTTTGAATATGTATTTTATTATGGAACCGTGCCTATTAGCTCTTAAGAAGTAATCAACTTAGTTTATGAAATCTTTCTAATATATTGGAAATTACTGGGTGTTGTTTTACTCTATGAAAATAAAATCTGCCAAATGTTCGCCTCTGGAAGATGTGAGCTCCTTTTAGGGTTTATTAACCAACTTGAACATAGTGGGAAATCCAGTGGGTGGATGGACGGCTCGCATTAGTAATCTTTTTGCAGCACAAAAATGTTTTTCCTCGAAACTATTCTTCTTTAGTTTTAATTAAGTTTTATTTAATTTAATTATATGAGCACTTACGTTCAAGTAATAAGTACTGTTGTAAATAACTAGGGACTTGCTTTAATAGATAAAAGAGCGATGTTTGTCACAAATATAATTTATTGATTAACAAACAAGTGTTCAGTAGTTATAATTGTACATAGTTTTGGTCGTTGTATATAGTATACGTATTTATTGTAACAAGCTTTTGAGGAGAAATAAAAGTCGACTGTGGCAATAAAAAACATTTATTTCTTTTTCGAATCGTACATCAATCGGCACGGCTTACGAAAACATGAATATTTCCATACTAAACAGAGGTAATGCTTTGTTTTAGTATTTCACATTTTAGTAAGTTGTCCTTCTGTCCGCTATGCGGGTGACTTTGTACATAAATACAATGTTATTTTAAAATATATAAACCTTATACAAGTCAACCGCATAGAAGACCTCGCCCGGACTCCCGACAATACCCTTCGCTCCATCACCTAGTATGTTACCTGCAGTCTTCAGTTATTTATTATAGTCGACTGCAAATAACGTAGCCGCATCACTGGGCAACTCATTGCCATTTCGAATATTTTATACTCTGGCGATGTTGATGAAATATCGATATTATCTGTAATCACCATGTTGCCAGACTCGTATGGTGGAATGGGTTGTCTCAACTTGCACGACAAATTAATTGTACTTGGTGTCATGATGTAATTTAAAGAATGGCAACACCAGTGACCACAGATAAGCACAAATGTAGCAATGACATTGTCCAGCTTTAATGTTACACTTAAAATAGTCTGAATACTAAATTCTAATAAAAGAAAGACACTGCATTCATTTTATTATCGACTAACTGTATCTAAACTGATTGTTTATAATATTTATGGATATTATGGACATTTGACAATAAATTGACCCCATATACATATACGTGTTTAGTTATACGTGCATATAACTGAAATGAAAATAAAATCTTTGGACTAAACAAAGCACATAATAATATAAAAAGTCTACGAAAAAACTGAGAAATAAAATAATTATTGCGAAATTTTGACAAACAAAAAATACTATTCTATACACACAATATTATAATTACTACTAAATCACATTTTTACAATGTTACTGTATCTATGTCGTTTAATTTTTTATTATTATTTTACGCTATTATGGCCGAAAACAACAATGGCTTAGGAAATAGAAACTTTTTGAGAAAAAATATTTAGAACTTCGGTTACATTATGGTCAGTTCGCGAATGCAACCATTTAGAGTACAAAATAAAAAATCGTAAACCCTTGTTAAAACAATACCGGAATCAATCAGACATGGAATAATTGTTTAAAATTTTGAGCAAAATTTACTATACACTATCTGCTCGCTATTTCAACACTAAAGCCAATATTTGGAATTCAACTTGAAAATAGTGTAACCACACGATTATGTGGTCAATGTGGAAGTTGCCGTCAACATTGACATTGGGCAAAGAAAAAAAAATACGTATTTAGTTTTGATAATCTCACATTGACCGGATATTAGAAATATCCTTAGTTTTTAAAGCCCAGCTTTTAAGGATAATTACTTTAATATTTAAGCCAGTAACTGAGATGACAATACAATAGAAATAAAGGGTTAAGTAGGGACCTGTGTGGGTAAATGCGATGCAAACAATGTATATCTGTTTTCTATATCTTCATATATTGACTACTCCCGCCGAATCGCTGTGCGGCTAACATCTGGAAACGAGACATGATTTTGATCAGTAAAATTTTACAGTAAAAAAGCACTCTATTGTTAAAGAATATAAGGACAAAAATCAAATGTGTAACCCACAAGGTAAATATTAAGACGTCATTCGGGGAGAGACAAATTGATTGGTTCTAAATTACTCGGGGATCTACTTTGACTCGAAGAAAAACACTAGGCTTTTCTCTTGGATATGTTTATGACGAAAATTAATCTCACAACAAACGCAAGGGACCTACACCCTAAACTACAATTCTTGAAGTTTTTTTTAAACATTACCCATACTATGATTTTCTCCTCTTTCGTGGGTGCGTTTACAAACATACAACTTTACATACACATCACACCCAGACCCGGAACAACAATTTGTGGATTACACAAAGAGTTATTCAATGCGGGAATCGAAACCGCGACACGTTGCGCGGCAGCCAGTTGGCCAGCCACCGCGCCAACCGATCTTTGATGGGTTAAAAGCATTAGGGTACAAGGAATGAGGTGCGTAAATACCTTGCAGTCTACATAGAGAGGTACCCGCGGGAGGCGGAATACCGGCGGCCCACCAGGTAGGCTATCAGCACGACCACCACCAGTCCACCAAGCGCGCAGCCCACAGCAATGGGCACCGCGTCGGGGACGTCACCGCCGCCGCAGTCGCGGGCTGTAGTATAACACAATATAAAATATTAGTACAACATATATTAAAACTAACAAAATCTTCATCACATCAGTTACAACAGGTCCACTGCTGAATCTTCCCAATGATTTCGAGATGAACGGACGACGGATGGACGAACGAATTGTGTTTCGCCGTGTAAGTGAGGTTACCGGAGGCCCAATCCTTCCTCTCCCCCAATCCCTCCTCAATCCTTAAATCTCCAAATCCCTAATCCCTAAAAGTTCGGCAACACACTCGTAACTCCTCCGTTGCGGATGTCTATGGGTGGCGTTGATTGCTTACCATCAGGTCATCCGTCTGATCGTTTGCCGACCTATCACATAAAAAAAATTAATAACATACATAGATGCTGGACAAGCTTGAATTCACTTGTAATAAGCATTCTTGCCAAAGTTACATTGGGTACAGAAACAAAATGAAAGTGTTTAAATGTTGACTAATTCTATTAAGCTTAATGCTATTAAGCGTTCTGGTGAGCATGTTTTCGATAGTTCTGCGAAGGATAATAATTATGCTTCTTTTTCGTTAAAAAAATCGCTGTTTCTGGTTTGTTTGTGGTACTATGCTTCGGCACGAATGGCGTGAAGCAATGGTTACGTTGTCTTTTGCCGTGTGAGTGAGGTTATTTGAGGCCAATTATCCCCTCCCTACATCCTTAACCCCTATTGAAACGTCAAAATAGAATTATATTTTGTCACTCTATTCGTTAGTGAAGCTAGATACTCGTTCCAAATTGTAGATTCGAATGACGAAGAACGATATAGAAACTCCATGGTTACTCTTTTAAAAATATGCAGAGAGCAAATTGTAAAAAAATGTATAAAGTATGAAGGTTACTATAATTATTATTATTATGGCTTATCGCGTACTGTAAAACGGTTCACTTTATGAATGTTTATTTTAGAACATTATCAGCATCTCTGCGAGTGATTGTAACGTAATGAAATTAATAACACTATCTATACAATGACCCTGGCCGTCTCGCACTAATGACTAAACTCCATTGTACGGTAGATTTCATCTACTGAACTGTATTTATACTTTAAACTTTCGCGTTGCATATTAATAATTTACTGTTTAATGGAGATTAAGGAGCCCGCTTCTCACGCATGGTGTGTGGGTTCGAAATCCTGGCAAGTACCAATGTGACTTTTTCCGAGTTATATGTACTTTCTATGATTATTTAGACACCACTGATATACGGTGAAGGTAAACATCGTGAGGAAACCTGGATTTATAATTTCTAATAATAAGTTGAAATTGAAATCTCCAACCCGCATTGAGCAAGCGTGGTGATTAATGCTCTAACCTTCTCCGTACAAGAAGAGGCCTTTGCTCAGCAGTGGGCACTTATAAGCTGAGGATGATGATGGTGAGCGCGTAGGTATCTTTTTTATTTGTTGTTTGCTTGTGTTTTGGCAGGGTTACACCTTCCATGGTAAAAATCTTCTTATATATAAAAATGGATCGCAAAATGTGTTGTAAGCGCATAACTCAACAACGCCTTGACCAATTTTGCTAATTCTTTTTTTGTTGTGTTGAGAAAATATTAGAAAAGTAGAGGGGAAGATTAGGAAAAAGTGACCCTTTGATAGCGACATAGCTGGACCCGCGCGAAGCGGGGGCGGGCTGCTAGTAACAAATAAAAAAGTTACGAGCGCGTTATATCCTTATAAACAATAAAGTGCTGAACTCTATCTTCTAGCATTAAAAAATATGGACCCCGGTGTTACAAGCATAAAAAAACTATTTATGTGTAAAATAAAAATACATTATTGATGAAATATTGTATTTTGCATTAAAAATTTGCTCGGGGCGAGACAAAAAATAAAAATATTGCTAGTCTAAAGCTAAATGTAAAAAGCGCAGTAACCGTAATGCGCACGCGCCCCACGTTTGATAACACCTGATAACGCGACCGATACTATCGGGACTGTTCGTGATGCCTGAACGACAACCCGGTTGTTGTTTACACTGAGTTTGTATTTGACACGAATTACTACAATATTAGTATTTTTCCATCCGATGCTTCTTTTTTATGGTATTACAGGTCGGCAAACGAGCAAACGAATTACCTAATGGTAAGCAATAATCGCCGCCCATGGACACCCGCAACAACGAAGGAGCTACGAGTATGTTTTGAAGATTTAAGGATTGGGGTAGGGAAAAGACTGGGCCTCCGGTAACCTCACTCACACTACGTCAAAACACAGCGGTGTTGTTGTTTCACGCCGGTTTCTTGTGAGGCCGTGGTATCACTCCAGTCGAGCCGACACATTCGTGCCGAAGCATGGCTCTCCCACACTTAAAATAAATTTGTAGTCCCAGTTATGAATGTGGGTTATTATCCAATAACTTCTCCTGTCGCAGGTGGAGCTAGAGGGTGGGTCAGACTTATTGACTAAATGCCAATACGTTCCTCTAGTTTTTGCCTGAAGCCAGACCACGGTACATAGGCACTTGCGCCCGCAACGCCCGCTGGCCATTTGCCCTACTGGACCACAATTGTGGTAGCCTCAATGATTCATTGAGGCAAACGCGGAAAGCGAGGCGCCGTACGCTTGAGTCTGGTTCTGATTGAGCGTCGAACTGCTTTTGCCCGCCAACCGCAAACTCGCGGATTTGTAGTAAATAGAGAAGGGTAGGGGCAAATGAATCCTATTCTGTCGTCAGACACACGACCAAAAAGGCCAGTTATCTAATTATTATAAACTGGCTACCTATTCTCGCGTGGTTTCTCTCGCTGCTCGGCTTCTATAGGTCTTAGCGTTATTATAACCTATCATCATCATCAGCCCACTGCTGGACAAAGGCCTCCCTAATATTACAGCCTAAAGGCTTCCTCTATTAATGGACTAAAGAACACAAAAACAATTGTTCAAATGGAACCAGTAGTTCCAGAGATTTACGCGTTCAAACAATCTCTACAACTTTATAATATTGTAGTACATATATGTAGATAATTTTTTAACTTACCAGCACTGAATCCACTGCCAGCGGTGGTACGGTAAGCTTCTTCTTGGAGACGTGACAGTGTAAGCACGGCCACAGCGCTAAGAGACTCGGAAGTCAAGTTAAGCTGGGTGGCAGACTTGCAGCGGTACGAAGTAGCCAGAGGAGTGACCCACTCCGATCCGTGGTATAATTCAATCGCGTCCTTAGCTGAAAATTTATTTTTTTAATTAGTAAAAACAAATTCTAATAGTTATCCAGACTGGGGGATCTACTATAGAACTTTTTAGAAGAAAAATGGTGAAATTATATTCCATAGTAATATCTACCTAATAAAATTTGTGCGCATATATTTGATCGTATTGTCATCTGCGTAAATAATATAATTAGGTAAGTAATAAGTATATAAATAAATACAAGTATGTATGTATAGAGGTATCGATAAACTCAAGTTCAGGGGTCAATTGAGGTCAACTGGTGTACGCTACACAGAACGATCAAGTCGACGAACATAATTTATTGCAGACGTTGTCCACGCTTTATTTGCATAGTAAACACAGAATTTGTTAAAATAAACATCTTACTCATTTTACATAACAATTATTTCACACACTATATTCTATGAATATAAATCTAAGCTCTAATGAAAATTATGTAGCTACTAGCTTCTACCCGCAACTTCGCCTGATTGCTGTGTTAATAAAAAAGCAGCCTTGGGTTAATCCGGGCAAGCTGCCTATTCGTTATCACCGATCCACATACCAAATTTCAACCAAATCTCTTCAGCCGTTTACGTGAAAGAATAACAATCATACATTCTCACAAACTCTCACATTTATAATATTAGTAAGACAGTAGGATGAGTATATTCACCCAAATTATCCCTAGAGGCAACATCAGCTGATATAAAACAACAGAGAGTAGCAAAAACGATAACACAGTTCTTCGGGCCTAATTTCAAGTTACTGTTTTGCAGTGTATGTGATGTTATCCCTTCCCCCCATCCCTAATCCCTGAAAGACAGGCACAAATAACTCCTCAAGTGTTGAGGCGCGGACGCCGATTGCATACCATCAGGTCAACCAGTTCAGTCAGTTCGTTTGACGCTTTATTCCATGTAAAGTATTTAAGTACTTTTATTCTAAGTCCTTAGCGCGGCATTAAGCAAGATACGTTTTACGACCAGAGGACATTTTGCGCTTGAGCTAAACAGAATACTCACATCCATTGACGAAGTTATCAGGAGTCAGGGTAAGGTTCAGGCTTTTCAGTCCGTAGTTCTTTGTTGTGGCATTCTCGTGGTAGACGAGGGTCATGGTGTTGTTGATCATGCTGTTCTCGTTGGTCTTCCACGTGATCTGGATCCACTGGTCGGGATCAGAACAGCTGCCATTGAGGACTGACGCGTTGGCGGGAACGTTGAACCTCACGTACCATAGGGATGTAGCTGTGGAGACAGAATAATTTTGTTAAAAACGTTGTTCCAAGGTGCTTTACGATTTTTATAATTGATTTACTTTTATGCACTTTTTTCGATGTAATAAATCAACTCTTTTGGGGGAAAGAGGGAAACATTTGATGACTTCTGGGTGGGGCGAGAGGGCTGAAGGACGAAGCTAAGAGGACTAGAAACCACCTCGTTCTCTCTCCTACTCCGGGCCGAGCGAGCCCCGGTACACTATTGTGATCCCGCAACCCCGGCTATTGATAGGTCAAAATTTGCCAAATAAGTCAAAATACTTGTCAATTAAGAAGGCAACGCGGTAGTAGTGAAACGCCTCTAAAATATATAAAAAATAAAGTCCTTAAGATGACACCAAATGTAAGTAAAATGATTTTATAAAATCCAAGACTAGCATGATCATAACATTAAATAAACATTTTATTTTCATTCCATTTGTTTTCTGGTTCACCTGGCTAACAGTTTTCTCATACTAACTTTGAACTAGTATTATATCAATATAACAGACATATTTCCTACACATAATTATAAAACATTCAATACAAGTAATCAAATACATTTAACCAGTATGCGCTAAATGAGTCATGCTTTATTTCACAATATTTTTTTACCACACCACATGTTGTATCTTTAAAAAAACTTCATATAGATAGATACTTTTTATACACAAATCGGATCGGTTCAACCAGATTTGATTTCCTTGTTTGGCGTTTTGCAAACGTACATATTTAACATAATTTTGATAGATTATGTAACAGAAGTGTGGGAAAGTCATGCTTCGGCACGAATCGGTCGGCTCGATCGGAGGAGTGACACCAAGGCCTCACTGAAAACCGGCGTGAAACAGCCACAGCGTTGTGTTTCGCCTTGTGAGGTTAGCGGAGGCCCAATCTTTCCCCTCCCCCAATCCCAAAACCTCCAAATAACTAACCCCCAAAAGGTCGGCAACGCACTCGTAACTCCTCCATCGTTGCGGGTGTCCATGGGCGGCGCTGATTGCTTACCATCAGATAATGCGTTTGCTCGATTGCCGACCTACCAGATAAAAAAAAGAATCTATATAAACTTATATATAATACTTTATTGACTGATTGTTTGTGAATTGATGAATTTGTTTATTTATCTATTTTCACAGAAATTAATGACTATCGAAAGGTTTTTTTGGAAAGGTGAGAGGAAATATTGTGAAAAAGGATATATCTAAGTACATTAATTATTTCTATATCGCTTACAAGTTTCTGAGAAAACAATTTCGCGATCAACATTTATCGTAACAGTGACATAGCAAGTTTATCAACTAGTATCGTTTCGTGATTGAATACAACATAACCTTACAAAAAAACTGAGCAATAATAATACACAAAGGTATTCCCCAATCTGACCAGCAGTTTCTGAGATTACCACACACACAAAAACTTTACCTAGAATTCATAACTTTCCTCATTCAATACAAACACATTCTATTGGCTAAAAAGTCTTTAGTAGAACATACTATATGCCACAAAATACGAAGTACATCTTGATTGAAACAAGAAAAAAAAAGGCAATTCTGAATATGCATAGTGCATCAGAAACTGGTATGAGACCTAACCTTCGCGTGCCTCCCCTCCGTGCGCACGGCAAGTAAATAAAACTATTGTAATACGTTCTTGCGACCTCTGGCACGATTGTCGATACTTTATAAAAAAAAAACCTTTGTGTTCTCTATGACTGTACTCGGTGACAGTTATTGACAATATCGGATATTGTTCGGCGATATGAAAGTAGGTTATATTTGTTAGACAACCTTATTTGTTGGTATCAACGACTTAAAATATTTAAATTTATGTATTCACATTAAAATATTTTAAAGTTTAAGTAATAAGTATAAAATAACAAAGGATATTATTTAATCAACAGCTAAACATAGTAATAAATGATCCAATTCTACGCATGAAAAACTATTTTAATACTAGCTACCCTTGCGCAGTTTTTCTTTTCTTTTTCTTGTAAAAGCCGAGTAGAGGGGTCTATTCGGCTTTTATAGATCGTAGCATGTTGTTTTGTAGCCTTCCTAGATAAATGGATGAACAGACATAAAAAGAATTGTTTAATTCGAACCAGCAGATCCGAAGATTACCACCTACATACGAACTTACAAATTTTACCTCTTTATAATATTAGTATAGATTTAGGTGATAATAAAAAAAGCAATAAGCTACAGAAACTATTATATTACATAACAAAGGCAACGTAATCTAATGTAATATTTCAGACTGCAATATCGAAATTGATGCACTCCTGCAATCGTTACGAAACTCCAACTGTTACAATTGTAAGTAAATACAATATAAATCACTTTCATTTCGCTTCTGCCATTTTTATTCGGGCGGTGACCAAAAACGACAGTGGCGACACGCTAGACGAACTGGAATTTCACAAAAACTTTATATGCACCGTTTATCAAGAATCAGAGTTAATTGTTAAAGGTCCAAAACATATTGAAATCCACATTTTAAATTGTATTTAACCCCAATACCACTAAGGATTAATTTCTATTACTCATAAGGATGACGTCAAGGTGGACATAAACTACAGGGTGCTTACGTAAGAGTGGCGAGCATCTCTAGCGCATCAGTGCACTGAGCCGAGCCATGTAGGGCTTCATGCTACAGCATATACCTGACGATATGTATTTAAGCTATTATAATGCTTATGTATTATGGTTATAGAAGTAAAATTACTGAATCGGTAGTCGGGTTTGGTGGGGAGAGGTCAGGTGTAACACTTATCCAATTCAATATTAATTACGAGTCTTAAGAACTATGTTCAATTTGCCTAGCCTAATTGTGCCTAGAAAATTTTATTTGATTAACCGGATTTCAGGTTTTTAGAACTATGTCAGCATTGAGGTCGTCTTGTAGACATCAAGGATTTACTTGTAAGGGAGAAAAAGTGGGGCAACCAAACCTTAAGCTATAAATATCAAATATTGTTATACTCACGAAATAATATATCGGATTTACTTTTGTAATAAGTAAGATATGGTAGCTGTTTTATTCCAAAGACCTTACACAGAAATAGAGAATTGAATAAAGTAAAAAGGAAAGGTGTATGACAAGTCTGTTAGTCTGTTATTCAAATTATAAGAGAAAGGTTTTCCTTGAATTTTTCTAACTAATTAGATCTATATAAATAGAAATGGACAGCTATGTATGTGCGCGCATAACTGTCGAATGACTGTACCGATTTGAATAATTACTTTTTCGTTACCGGTCGGACAACATACGTATAGAAGAAAAATTCGATACATCCACCGATAACACCGGGAAACTGTCCCTTTTTTGAGGAGTAGTAAGGCAAGTTGAAATGTCAGACTCTTACCCCCTTATTACAAAACAAGGTTTATCTTTAGTCCAGGTTTAAACCATTGAGTCGGGTTTTGAATTTTGAAACTTATTGTCATCTACCTTCAATTCGAAATACAAAAACTGGCTCAATGGTTTAGTCCTAGACTAAAGTAAAACCTTGTTTTGTAATAAAACCGTTACTGACTAAAGGCCCCTTGTTCCTTCTCCTGCTCTAATCCGAGGCTGCGGTACCGTATTGCACTTATCCAGTAACCCCGTCTAGGGAAATGGGCACGTAATGATCTAATATTTAAAAGTTAGACTTTCGAACCAACAGAAAATATTTCCAATCATTTACTTCGAGAAGATCTGTATTACCTCAAAATATGAGTCAGAAGTTCGGATCCGTCACGAACAACAGAACATTCGTCCTTTTAGTGCAAATTTCAACATGGATGAAGCATCACAAATCTGGAATACGAAGCCAACTGTCGTGTTTGAAACGAATGACACTACAAAGAGTAGCGGAACCAAAATATTTAGAAACGCGACATAGCCCAGTTTTTTAAACAAAGCGTTGTTTTTTTTTTAACTTTATCTAGAACGGTGCGCTTACTGTAACCGATGCAATGATATAACGTGCTTATTCTACTTAATTTTTTTTTTTCATAGTTATGTAGTCGTGACTCAAGTTTTTGTAGAAATATTCGCAATCAGTTTCTCAGTATTTTATGTTATTGAATTTCTACGAATTCTCTATCTGTGCTTCATAACATTAAAAATAATAGTTTGATTATTTGTATTATACGCATTTGTTTTTGAAATTCGAACACTAGGTCTTTTTGGACACAAATTAGGGCTAATTGGAGTCCAAAAAATATTTCATAAAAAACATTGTCAACTTTTACGGCAATAGCTATTCTATTATTTACCATGTTGTAGGAAACGGAAACCGCGGATGATTAGAATACAGGATGTTAAGTTAAATAATACCTAGTCATCTGGAATGAAACAATATATTGAGATTATTTTAGGTACGTCAACAGATAAGCAAAATTTTATAGGTATATAATTTAAATAAAAACCGAGCCAAAAAAATACATCAAACGTTGAAAGATAAAATCGATAAAATGGGTTGCGACCATCATTGTTTGAACCTATCTATTAATATTCAAGATTTGATATTCCTTTATATATAAACAATGGAAAAAGTTTATACTTAACTAAAAGTAATTCAACAAAATCGTTGTCAAAACCTATGCCTAATGTTGTCTATGCAACAGTAATACTTGGCATAAAACAGTTCACTGTACGACATGGCAACTGCGCAAGCGCATGCACTTAGCACCACGCATGTGCCATCGACACAGTTAAGAAACACGCGACTCGTACGCAGAAGTCTCATAAAAACATAACATCGAAACGGATACTGATATTCGCAGTAATCCCTTGCAAGTACCCTTCCTTGGCAGTCAAGCGACTTCTTGGCCAATGTGACGACCTAAAGTGTTTTATCTTATCTATAATGTATTGGATATACCAATTCCGGCTCGAATATAAGCTTTACTAATCCTTTTCGGGTACATTGAGGTACAAGATTTAGGGACACAATGTCTGAATAGCCCTTGTTTTAGATACTGTGTGTGTATGAACTAT